CGGCGCTCCCGGTGAAGAACTTGAATGGAACTGGGCCGGTCCACCCGGCCCTGGCAGGTGAGGTCTGGCCCAGGGCGGGAAGGAAGGGGCGCCCATGAGGGGGCCGCTGCACCTGTCGTCCCGTGACTCCGCCCCTCGCCGGCTGGTGGGCGGGGCCGGAGAAGGCCCTCCCCTTGGCCTCAGCCTGGGGCAGGGCTGAGTGGGCGGGGCCTGGGGGCGCTCCACCACTCACCTTAAGGCCCCAGGGTTCCCAGCGAGACCAGGTGGGCGGGGCTGGGGAGAGGACCTACGCGTCCGCCCAATGACGGGAGGGCCAAAGCGCGGGGTGGGTGTGGCCTTGCTGGGCCCGCCCCCTGACCGCCCCACCCCGCCCCCGCCCCCAGGGATGACCGGCATCCTGCTGTGCGCGGCCGGCCTGCCCGTGTGCCTGACGCGGGCCCCCAAGCCCATCCTGCACCCGCCGCCCGTGAGCAAGAGCGACGTCAAGCCCGTGCCCGGCGTGCCCGGGGTGTGCCGCAAGACCAAGAAGCATCTCAAGAGGAGTATGCCCTCCACGCCCCAGATGTAACCCCTAACCCTCGGCCGCCACCCGGACCCCCCCAACTCCAGTTTTTTCTTAGGACTTAGATCCCACCTGCATCGCCTGAGCCCAGCTCCCGATACCCTGATCCCGTCCGCCACCAGCTCCCGTTACGTCTGACCTCCAGCAGCCCTGACATCATGGGCCTCCTGCCAGCCCCTGAGCTTCTGACCTCACCCCTCTGACCCCTGACCCCGTCCACCACCAACTCCTGCTACCTCTGACCTCCAGCAACCCCTGACATCATGGGCCTCCTGCCAGGCCCTCAGCTTCTGACCCCTGACTCTGTCCATTACCAACTCCTGCTACCTCTGACCTCCAGCAACCCCTGACATCATGGTCCTCCTGCCAGCCCCTCAGCTTCTGACCCCACCCCTCTGACCCCTGACCCCATCCTGAGCCAAGCCTTCAGGGGTAGACTCCGGGGACCCTCAAGCCCACTGCACTGTGTTGTTGCAGGTAAGAACCCTGAGGATGTGGTTCGGAGATACATGCAGAAGGTGAAGAACCCGCCCGATGAGGTGAGCCCCCAGGGGTCCTGGCAGCGGCCTCGCCCCTCCCCCCTGGCTGCCTGGCCTCCGCCCTCCAGGACATGAAAGCCTGGGTCTGTGTGTCACAGCCTCTTCTCCCAGGGTGTGGGGTTGCCTTTTCACTTTTTTGACTGAGTCTTTTGATAAATGCCGAAATGCTGAAGTTTGATAGAATCACATTTATCAATCTTGTAATGATGGGCACTTTTTGCATCTTATTTTTAGCCATATTTTCCACCACACGTGTGTCAGTTTTCCTTTTGAGGGAGAAGCCTGTAAGCCCTCAGAGGGGCGTGAGGGAGCCTCTGCCTCCGTGTGAACTCAGTACCTGGGGGTCCTCTCCTTGGAGAGATGGGGGCCACAGAGCCGGGTGTGCTGCCGCCCCCTGTGGCCGGGACCCTGGCTCCTGCTGAGGGGCAGCGCTGGCCCGGGGTGTCCCACCCTCCCCAGTCCTCAGTGTCCCCTCCCTGCCCCCCAGGACTGCACCATCTGCATGGAGCGCCTGGTCACAGCTTCCGGCTACGAGGGCGTGCTCCGGCACAAGGGCGTGCGGCCCGAGCTGGTTGGCCGCCTGGGCCGCTGTGGCCACATGTACCACCTGCTGTGCCTCGTGGCCATGTACTCCAACGGCAACAAGGTGGGCTGGGCGGGGCAGTGGGTGGGGAGCAGGCAGGGGGGGCGGTGGGCCGGGACCCCTGGGGACCTCACCGCCAGCCCCACCCCCCCAGGATGGCAGCCTGCAGTGCCCCACCTGCAAGGCCATCTACGGGGAGAAGACAGGCACTCAGCCGCCCGGGAAGATGGAGTTCCACGTCATCCCCCACTCATTGCCCGGCTTCGCCGACACGCAGACCATCCGCATCGTCTATGACATCCCCACAGGCATCCAGGTGAGCCCCCTCGGACCCCTGACCCCACTGGCTCTGCCCCTCCGGAGCCCCCACCCCTGTCCCCAGTTCAAGCACCCACTGCCCCTCCCCACAGGGCCCTGAGCACCCCAACCCAGGCAAGAAGTTCACGGCAAGAGGCTTCCCACGCCACTGCTATCTGCCCAACAACGAGAAGGGCCGGAAGGTGGGTGCCACGAGGGTGCAGGGGTGGGGGGAGCGGGCCGGGGCCTGCGGTCCCCATCATCCCCAACCGCTGCTCTCAGATGCCTCCCCGCCCCAGCATTGACCATAAGCACCTGGTGTGTGCCCAGCCCTCACCTCATTTATGGGCCCACTGAGGTCAAGGTCTTGACCCTATTTTACGGATAAGGAAATGAAGCCTCAGAGAAGGCAGGTAACTTCAACAAGGTCACACAGCTAGTAGGTGGTGGAGCCTGGATTCGAACCCAAGCAGTCCAGATTGTTTGCTTGGTGATTTTCAAGAGAAGCCAGAAATTCAGATTCTCACAGAAATCTCCAGGTTTTTGAACATTGCCAACGAAGTCACAAGTGGCTATTTAAGCCATTGTGGGGTCCAAACCAACACCGCTGAGGGCCGTGAGTTTGAGATGCTTCCTTCCTTCATCCCAGAAGAAACAGGCCAGGGAAGGAAGCTGCCGGCTGGGCAGCCGCCGAGTGGCCGGGGAGCGGGGAGGCTGGGCGAGAGGGGCCCCAGGCACGAGGGCCGGGCCGCCCGTGACCTCGGCCGCCCTCCCGGTGCCCCGTCCCGCAGGTGCTGCGGCTGCTCATCACGGCTTGGGAGCGAAGGCTCATCTTCACCATCGGCACGTCCAACACCACGGGCGAGTCGGACACCGTGGTGTGGAACGAGATCCACCACAAAACCGAGTTTGGATCCAACCTCACGGGCCACGGCTACCCGGACGCTAGCTACCTAGACAACGTGCTGGCCGAGCTCACAGCCCAGGGTGTGTCGGAGGCCACCGCCAAGGCCTGAGGCCGCCCACCTTCCCTCCTGCTTTGTCCAGCGTACGCCTCCCTCCGCCGGGTGTGTCCTGGCGGCGCAGGGTCAGGGCTGGGGAGGAGTCTGCGGAAGGAGCCAGAAGCATTCCCAGGATTTGGCTGGTACCAGTTGGCATGATGGGAGGATGGCAGGCCGGCCGGCTCCGACCCCTAGCTCCCTGAGAGGGTGGCACAGAGGGGACTGGAAACCACGGCGCCCTCCCTCCCCCTCACACAAACACACGTGTCCTGTTGAACACATGCACGCACACCCACGTGCCTCTACTTACCCCCACACTGGGGGAAGAGACAGGAAGACCCCTGTGATACTCTGCGCGGATCGCGTCTGTGCCCCTGTCGCAGCTGCACAGGCTCGTCTGCAGCAGCAGGATTCAGGTCACGCACTCAGGGGCCTGCTGGGGCTCCCGGGGGGGAAGGGGCACTGGGGACGCTCAGCCTACCCCATCTCTGTCACCCATCCCTGCCAGCCACCAGTGGGCAGTGGTGGGCCCATGGGGTGGACACCTCCAGATGATTGAGCAGTTTTGCAAAGGGGCAGGCCCGAGAGAGGGGGCCTAGAGGTATCTTATTTTGTGCTTGTGTCTCTTCATCCTTCTGGGACCCTGACCTCCTCCTCGCCTCCCATCCCCTCGCCTTCTGTCCGTCCCAGACAAAGGCCCTGTGCTCCTTTCCTCCCGCTCCATTCCCGCCACCAAATCGCTTCCAACATCGAGACCCAAAGGCTGGAGCTTCTGGCTTCAGGAGCGAACGAGGAGGCCTGGCTTAGGCCGGCAGGTCCAGACTGCAGCTCGGACAGCAAACAGTCCATTTTCCGTTCCTTGGGATTGGGCAGTGGATGTGGTCTCGGCCAACCAGGGGCCTGTTGCCCAGGCAACGCACCAGCTCCGCCTCTGTTGATTGGCTGCCGCGGTGGACGACAGCCAAGGCTTAAGGGGACGCCAGCGACTGCTCTTTTGAAAACCTACCAATCCCACTGTGGGTGGAGAAATAAACGGTCTTTCTCCTCCTCATCCAGTCTTTTCCTGCCAAGACGCAGGGTGGGTCGCTCTGTTCCTGGGAGCCATCAGGGTGGGGGGCGGGGGGCTCCACCTCATCCGGGAGCCTGCCGCGAAATGACGGCCCCGGGACCACTGTCCCTCTCAGCCTTGGGCAGCTGCAGATGGACGGTCCCCATAATTCTCTTCTCCTGGGGCAGGCAGGGGGCGTGATGGTGGCGGAGGCAGACCCTCCTGATCCCCAAGAGGGCGGGGGCGGAAGTGCTGGCGCTCCCTAGCACAATTACTACGAGGAATGAACTCGGGCTGAAAGCCCCCGGATAATATGCAGAAGCTGGGCGACCCCATGATCGGCTCGTTGGCCTGAGAGCCCGGCCCCTGCCTCGGGGAGGAGGGCCAGGCTCTGTCTAGGGACAGAGGAGGACAGATCCCAGGATCTGCGACAGGCCGCGTGGGAGCCTCTGCAGCATCCCAGGATGCGGGGCGGATGTGGCGGACGCTGCGGCTCCAGGCGACCCCTGCTGGCCACCCGCGGGATAGCAACGTGCCTTTCCCGGTCCAGCCTGTCGCCAGCCAGGCGGGTTCAGTTTCTGTCCCACCCTCTGGTCACACAAAGCCGGAAACGAGGCCTTGGTGGCCCTTCCAGTTCTGCCAGTTGGGTGTTCCCAAACGCTTTACCTTCTGTGATTCAGTCTCAAACGAAGTCTCACCTCAAACGCGAATATGGAAAGTCGCCCAGCCCTGGGATCCTCAAACCTCACGTGCATCCACGTGGCCTGAGGAACTTGTTAAAACCCCTGATTCCCGCCCCCACCCACCCTCAGGTGCTGACTGAGTAGAGCTGGGGGGTGAGGGGTGCCTGGAATCTGCCTGTCTAGCAGACAGCCCCGGGGTAGGGGCCTTTGGAGCCCCATCTGAGAAACCCCTGCCTGGCTCCAGAGCCACCTCCATAGAACCCAGATTGACACCCACGCATCTGAACTCACTCCTTCCTCATTTTATACAGGGTAAACTGAGGCTCAAAGAGAGGGAAAGAGCCTGGCCCAAGGTCTCCCAGCCTCCAAGGATCTGAGTCTGGCACGCTAGGCTCCCAGCCTCAGTTCTTCTTGAGGGCACCTGGTTCTGGAAGCTTGCGGTTAGGACCCTCGGCCAAGGGCAGGGTTCAGGAGGATCGGTGATGTTACAGGGATTGACAGACATGAAAACAGGGAGGGCTAAGCCCATTTAGTGCTTGTCTGGGGCAACAAGACCACATGGGCATCAGGGATTCAGGTACAGCTGTATCCAGCAGCTCAGGGCCAGGCTGGCCTCACTGGTGCCACAGTGCTTCACAGGCAGAGGCCAGTCCGGTGAAGCAGAGACCCAATGAGTTAGGTTCCTTATCCCATCCTCTCCAGTCGGCCTCAACCCAGAGAGTGAGACTCATTCAGTGCAAGGCTGAGCCCCTGCCAAAGGGCTTCCATGCCTCAGGTTCTGGGCTCAGAGCACAGGAGACTAGGCTATCTCCAGAAGCCCCCAAGCCACAGCATCAATGAGGTACAGGACAGCCACAGGGCACTCCCGGACCAGGGTACGCTGAGAAGAGCCCAGCAGCTCCTTCTCCTCTGGCCAGGTGGCTGTGGCATCCCCTCAGGGCCCGAGGGGGCCAGGGGCCACCGTCCCCTCCTCCTGCTGCTGGAACTCCTCATGGGCTCGGTCCAGGTCCGCAAGTACCTCCAGCAGGCGGGCAGCTGCTGCTTTCTGCCGGGCCAGGGCATCAGGACAGGCCCCTGGAGGGAGACAAGGGGGCCACGGGGGTTCAGCCAGGCCAGGGCAGGCTGCCACCCCCGACCAAGGGCTTCCTCCAGCTCCAGATTCTCCTTGTGCCCTGAGAACCCCAAAACGTACCGGAGCCCACACCTACACCCCTGGCCTGCTGGTGGACCGGAAACAGGAGAGAGAGCGGGCGCGAGGACATCGCAGTTGCTTGGCAAGTACAGGGGGGCATCAGAGCGGGCCAGGAAAAGGGACTTTCTGACCCCTTACCTTCCAAGGAGCCAGAGCCCTTCGCTGTGCCAGCCTCCGGAGTTGTGTCCACGCTAGAATTCTCCAGGAATTTCCTCCTGGAAGTTGAGAGGGACACAGACAAGGCCGGGCCCTGATTCCCAACCCTGCTCTCTACCCCACAGATTCTCTGCTGGTGGCAGGAGGAATGACAGGTCCTCCCTAGTTGTCACCGTCATCATCGTGGTCATACAAACGTTTATAAAGTCCCCTCTATGTTCTAAGCCCTTTACACATATTAAGTCATCTAATTATCGCAAAACACGTATGTGAGGGAGGTACGTTCTGTTGGCCCCATTATACAGACGGCCACTGAGACACCACGAGGTGAAGACACTTACTGAAGGTCACACAGCGTAATAAGAACCGTGAGCATTTATCAAACGCTGACCGTGTGGCCAGGTCCCCACCCGTGCTTTATCCCTATTAGCTCATCTGACCCTGGGGACCAGCCCATGAGGTAGGGACTCCTGTTATGCCTGTTCTCCAGATGAGGAAACTGAGGTACAGAGAAGGTAAGCAACTTGCCCAAGATCACACAGCCAGTAAGTGGCCAGGTCAGGATCTGAACTCAGGCACGCCAGTTTCAGAGCCTTCTGTATAATGAGTTGGAACAAGTGTCTGTCACAGAATAACGGTGATCCTGGGCCCAGGAAGGGGAGGGACACACCCAAGGTCTGTGCCCACGTCTCTGGATCCCCTGGTATTAAAAGACCCCAAGACCCACTTCTGCATGAGGCCCCCGAGGATGCTTCCCGGGCCTCACCTTGAGCCTGCCCCGCCCCAGGGAGGCCCAGCTGAGGCGCAGGGGAAGAAGGAAGAAAGGAAGGTGGGAGGCCAGAGTGGGCGGCTGCCCCCACGGGTCCCAGCAGCTGCAGTGGGAGGGGTGGGGGCACCCACCTGAGCTGGTCCCGCCCCAGGAGCAGCTGCCGATACACCATCTGGGTCTCAGCATCCGGATCCAGCGGGTCCCTCCAGTCCCCCAGGGTGACGGCCGCGTGTGTGCGGCTGCAGCCAGCGGCTGGGGGGAAACGGCATCATCAATAACCGCCCCCACGCCCTTCCAGAAGCCCCCACAGCCAGGCAGCCACCAAACCCTGCCCTTCCCCTGTAACACCGCCCTTCAAACCTAGTCCTCCCCTGCAGCCCCACGGCCTCCACCCTCCTCCAGAGCAGCAGCCTCGCCTCTGTCCTCCTGCCACATCCGGGGTCCAGCCACGCAGACCCTTCCTGTCCTCCAGCCCGCTCTGCCTCGCCTCCAGGCCCGTGCTCTGCCTGAAACGCTCTTTCTTACCCCATCCCTGTCCCCAACTTCGCTCCTTAACCTCTCTTCTCAGGTCACATGTAAGCAACACCTCCTCCGGAAGCCCTCCTTGCTCTCCAGCCCTGGGGCTGGGTCAGAGGCCTTTTCCGGAGCCTCGAAAGCCTCATCTCGGTACTCGTGACACTGTATTAAATTCTCTGCTTATTCACCTGTCTTCCTCGAGAGCAAGCCCACGGTCTGTCCGTGTACCACGAGACACCTGGGGTGCAATTTGATGAGCGCCACGTGCCGGGCAGGATCCTAAGCGCTTTGTGGATATCAACTCACTTAATCCTCGCAAGACGCCTGAGCACTGTTATCAGCCCCATTCCACACTTGAGGAGGCTGAGGCGTGGCGAGGTTCAGTAACTCGCCCAAGGTTGCACAGCCAGCCCGGGCGGAGGTAGGACACCGCTGATTGACAGGTGCGGCGGGGGGCTCAGGCTCCGCCCCCACGAGTCAGCCCCGCCCCCTCACCTGAGCGCTCCGCCCGCAGGCAGCAGGTCCAGCGCGCGCTGCGGAAGGCCCCCGGGTGGCAGGCGGCCAGCTTGTCCGGGTTGGGGGCGCTGGCCTTGCGCAGGGCCGACAGCCATTGGCTGAGCTCGTTCACGTTCTGCAGGGAGTCGGGGGCGGTCAGGGGTGGGGGACCCAGGGGACGCCGTCACCCGCACCCCTGCGGGGCCTCACCTTGCACTGGAGGTAGGTGGTGTGCAGCGCCCCCGCGCCGTCCTGCGTCACCACCTGCATCATGTGCGGCAGCTGGAAGGCGCCCTCGTCCACGCGCTCCACGGCGCGGATGTGCGACACGGGGATGGAGGAGCGCGTCTGGGAGACAGGACCGTCGCTGCGGGGCGGCCTGGGGGCTGGGGCCGGGGCGGCGGGGCCCAGGGACAGCTTTCCTCTGGGTGTGCGCTTCAGGTGGGCCCCGGGGGGTGAGGACATTCAATCTGTGTATCTGTGATCTGTGTGCGTGTCCCCTTGGCTGTTCCATGAGTCCCGCAGTCCTGCCCCGTCACTCTCTGAGTAAGTGACAACTTATCAGGGCACCAGTTTCCTTCTTTAAGAAGAAGGATAATAGCCACCGCTTCTGCGGCACCTGGGGTGTGGTTCTAAGCACTCTACATCCATCACCTTATTTCATGGTCACAACAAATGTCTGAGGCTGGCTCTGTCCTTCCCAATTTGCAGATGAGGAAACTGAGGCACAAGAAGATAAATGACCCTCCCAGGGTCCCTCGGCTGGTGCCGCCAGCGCTGGAACCCAGGGAGCTGAAGTCTAGAATGGCACTCTGCTGATGCAGCAGCCGTCAGCGTGGGCACCCTCTCCAGGGCTGGCTAGTGGCAGTTAGGGATGTGGTACTCAGAAGTGGGTAGATCCCAGCGTGGGGTTCGGCTTGTGCTACGCTTGAATGGCAGCCCCATGAGAACATGCATTTTACGTCTCGTTACTGCTGTATCTCCAGTGCCTAGAACATTGCCTGGGACCTCGTAGTCACTCAAATGTTTGATGAATGAATGAGTGAGTGAACGAATGCCGAATGTGGGCGCCTATACAGCCGGGCATGTACCTGGGAGCGAGCAGCTCCCGTTTCATGTGCCTCTGGGTGGGATGGGGGCATAGACCTGGGGTGGCGGGGGGGACGCGGTGAGCAGCGTCCCTGCCCTGTGCGCATCCACATGTGGGGGGTATGTCCGCCCCTCAACGGTGCATGCGGAAGGAGGCCTGAGGATGGGTGTGTGTGGGTGTGTCTGTGCCCGTCTGTGCCCGCATGGCCCAAATGTGTGAGCAGAGTTGGCACTGCTAAGTCGCTACGGGACCTTGGGCAAGTCATCGCAACCCCCCCCCCCAACCCCAGGCCTCAGTTTCCCCCTGGGTAGAGAGAAGCGGCTCCCTGGGGAGGCCCCCTCTGGAAGCCCTCCCCGGGACAGGGCTGGGGCCCCACCTGCCACTCGGGGCTCTTGGCGTAGGAGAGCGCGTCCGCGCTGAGCCGGAAGTAGCGCTTCTTGAAGGCAAAGCGCGGGGCCAGGCCGCCCGGCTCCTCCTTGCGCTTCAGCAGGTAGCCTTCTCGAACCGTCGCCGAGCGCGGGATCAGGGCCCTGGCGGGGCCCCCAGCCTCTGGGGACGGGGAGGGGGACAGTGAGCCCCTCCGCTCCAGGCCCAGCCGCTCTGCTGGCTTGCCCGCGGCCGCAGGGATGAGCAGAAGCCTGCGCTCCCCCGGAGGCAGGAGGCCTTGGACCCCTCCCTGAGAGGGGGACAGCGCCGCTGAGGGTGGCCCGGACCACACGTAGGCCCTGGGCCCTCTCCTCGGCAGGGATCTGCGGCCATGGCGCCCAGGGGAGTCCGCCCAGGCAGCCCCGCACCAGAGACGCGCCAGGCAAACCCGGCTGCTCCCAGGTGACCTGCACCCAACACTGTGATACGGACTCAACCCCCACTCCTCTGCTTAAAACTGTCCGGTGGCCTCATCCTCACCTTCCTCCCCCTCATTCACTCTTCTTCATTGGCCTCCTCACGAGTGCTCTCTGGCCCCACCTCAGGGCCTTTGCACATGCTCTTCCCGGCCTGGAACGTTTTTCCTCAGGATCCTCATGCTCTCTGTCCTCCTTCAGGGCTTTGCTCTAATGTCACCCTAGCAAGGTCTTTCCTGGCCACCCTTTCTAAAAGTTCCACCTGCCACCCCCACCTCAACCTTCGCTTCCCTCCTTTATTTTTTCTCCTTAGCACTCATCCTCCCTAACACACCATGTGCTCGGCTAATTCATCGTGCCCACAGCCTGTGGTCCCCACTAGAATAAAACTTCCGTGAGAGCAGGAGTCTGTTCTGTCTTGTTCACAGCTATTCCCAGGCCCGGAGCAGTGTCCGTTACAGAGTCGGCACTTAGATAATTGTCAGTTGTGTGGACCCCGCACCACAATCCCCACCCGCCTCTCCACATTGGCTGGAGCGGCCTGGAGGGCAAGGCCTGCACTCTGATCATCTCTGAGACCCAGCACAGCCGGTGCCAGGAGATGTTAGTGGACTGACTAGCTGACGCACAGGTCCACAGTCTCAGTGCTGGGGGGGGGGGGGCGGCAGGCCCAGCGCATCCAGTGGGGTGACAGGCTGGCTGTGGCAGGGACACTGGAACTCACCCTCCTCCTCGTCCACATCCACCAGCCGGTCCAGGAAGTCCCGCACACGAGAGACGCTCCGCAGCAGGAAGGGGTGCAGGGGGGCCATCCACACTTCCTTGCCCTGGCCTAGCTGCTGGCCCAGGTTCCCGATGCTCTGCACGGCCTGGAGCAAGGGGCAGGGCACGCCAGGGCCACGGTCACCGCAGGGGGAAGGGCCCTCTGTGGACCCCGAACACAGCCCCAGGGTCCTGGCTCCCAAATCAGTGCTCACCAAAGGAGAAGACTCATAGCAGCACCTGCTCTGAGCAATATCTGCCCCTCCCTGTGCACAGATATGCACCCCCAGTGCCCGTCTTCTGTTCCCTCCCGAGCCCAGATCCCCCCACCCAGGACTGCTGATCACATCATCCATCCTCTGGAGCCCATCAGAGCCCCAACAGGTGACCACTTTGCAAACGATGGTCTAATTCATACTAAGGCGTAAATGACTACCAGCCTGCTTCCCACTTTCCTCCTTCTCTGGGTCGTGTTGGGGTCTTCTGTGGTCTGCCCCCCTGCTCTGGTCCTACTATGCTCTTCCCTGACTAAGGACACCCAGCAGGGGCCTCTGCTGCTGGTACCTTGGCAAGCAGCAGCAACGAGCGGCTGGTCTGGGGGTCTGCGTGCTGGTCCCGGAGGTCGAACAGCTTCGGGGTGAGGATGGCAGGCGCGAAGAATCGCAGGAAGAGAAAGCCGCTGATGGCCAGGTACTTCACATCCTGGCGAGAGGAGAAGCCGGTGAGAGGGGCCGCCAGACCCACTTCCCAGCTGGGGAAACTGAGGCAGCAAGGACTATAGGTCAGTGGTGCAAGGGGAAGTGGGATGGGAGATGGGTCAGGTGGCCATACAGGTCTGCCAAGGGGGCTTTTCCTCTCTGGGCCTCAGTTTCTCCACCTGGAAAATGGAGTAACAACACCATCCTGCACAATCAGATTTAGCCTAACATCCTCAGAGTCCGCTGTGTGCCAACCACTGTACTCAGGGCACAGCCCTATGAGGGAGGCACCACCATTCTTCTCATTCTACAGATGAGGAAGCAGAAGCTCAGAGAGGTCAAGTGACTTGCCCAAGGTCACACAGCTGCTGAGTAGAGGAGGCAGGACTCCAACCCAGATCTATGATTTCTGATAATAATAGCAACAGGCCAGATCCTTCTGCACACATTTGTTTACTTAATACTCACTTTATTATATCTCCATTTCACAGAGGAGGCAACTGAAGCCCAGAGAGGGACAGTCACTTGCCCAAGGCCACACAGCTGTAAGTGGCAGAGCCAGGATTTGACCCCAGGCTGGAATTGAACTCTCCGCTCTTCACCACACTCTCCTGTATTTGACACCAGCTGCTGCGGTGCGCTCGCTGGGGGTTGGGAACCAAGCCTGGACTATGACATCTAATGCTCACACAATCCCAGCGAGGGGGCGGGGGGAGATGCTATTATCTCCGTTTTCCAGACGAGGACACTCAGGTCCCTGCGCCTGGCCCATGTGCCCCCAGCCACAGCCTCTGCCTCTGCACACTGTGAAGGACGGTGCCTGTCCGTGCGAGCCCCAGGCCAGGCCTGCCTGCAGGGAAGCCTGGCCCCCGGAGCTCAGGGAGACCGGAGAGAGGGCGGCCCCTCCCACGGCACCGGCCCCCGCCGCTCCCCCCATCCCGCTCCCCCCACTCGCCGGCTATCTTTAGCCCGAGTCTGTGCTCCAGCCTTTATTTAGGGGCTGTTTTCACACCTGAGACCTGCCTCCTGGGCACCTCTGGAGGAGCTGGGTGCCCGGAGGGTCTCACCCCACCTGCCGTCTGGAACCCTGAACTGCCCCCCACAGCCACCCCGCCCCCCCGGCCGCCCTGTCCCAGCGTAATTTTAGCCTTTGACATCAGCTCATTAACTTCCTCCTTTCTCGAGAAGGAGGAACAGATGTCAGAGCGGCAGAGACGGGGTCCCCTGGGCTCCCCCGTCCACCCCCCCGGCCTGTGACGGTCCCGGCTCCCTGCCCACGGCCTCTGCCCACCCTGGGGGCCGAGAACTGGGGGACACTTGGCGTCCCTGATACTGGCCCCTCCAAGGGCCAGGCTGGCTGGGGAGCTGGCCTCCCCCTCCCCTTGCCTCCTCCCTGTGTCCCACTTAGCACCTCTGCCGGCAGCCCAGCTGAGCACCCGGCAAGCTGGGTGTCACCAAGCCACGTCCCAGTTTGGAGGCCCAGAGCTCACTCCTCAGCGGGGGTGAGGGAGAGAAGGGCGAGACCCCAGCTGGGAGGCCACAGGCCTCGGTTTCAGTCCCCAACCCCTGGCCCAGACCCTTGACCTCTCTGGGCCTCCGTTTCCCCATCTGTAAACAGGAAGTGGGGAGAGATGGGGCATCAATCAATTAAAAAATGAGAGCTGGCACCTAAAATCCAGAATACTGGCTTAAAAACAAAAAACAAAAAACAAAAAAAAAACTCTGCAGATGTGGCAATCCTACATGGCCATCACTGATTGTCCAGGCCTGCTCCCACCAGACAAGCTGTGGGATCTGGTTCACCACAGGCCCTACCACTCCCTACCGCCCCACGCCTCAAACACTTGGTTCATTTCCTCACCTGCCTGAGCCCTGTAGCACCTGAGTTTTCAACTTCCGTATCAATATTGGTAAAGCCCCAGCCCAGGCACGGACCTACTTTTAGCCTTTATTTTGAGTATCTGCTACTGAGTACCTACTGTGTGCCAGCTTGCTCTCAATCTCACAGCCGGCATTTAAGATTCACTTATTTTGCACAGAGTCTATCACTTGGCGCTTATGAGCGCAGATGCAAGAGCCCGCCTGCCTGGATGGGGCCCATCCCAGCGCCACCCCTTCCTGGCTGTGTAACTTAACCCGCCTGGGCCTCAGGTTCCTCCTCTGCGAAATGGAGCAATACAGGTACCCACCTCATAGGTGGACGTGAACACTGGATAATGGGTAACAACACGTAACGCACCGAAAACAAGGTCTGACCCGTGGAGAGGGCTGCATGCAGTGTCAGCTGCCGCGATTATTATTTTTATTAACTATTATTATTTCTCCTGGGTCCCAGACCCTGCAGAGAACACCGCCCCCACTTCTGCCAGACACACAGGCCTTCAGCGTGGGCAGCCGGGTTCTGTCCCCCCTCTGCCCTGACTCCGCGCATCCCTGGACGAGCTGCTGCCCTCCGCAGCCTCGGTCTCCCCATCTGCCCACCTTGTGCTCCGTCTGCGGGAAGCGCTCCTCCACGCGCTGGTGCAGCTGCTTGAAGGCGAGGCGCATGACGGCCGGGCAGCGCCCCGCGGAGCCCACGATGGCGTCCACGATGGCCCCCAGGTAGCCCGTGAGCAGCCCCAGGCTGGCCTCCCGCACGTGCTCCTCTGAGGGCGCGCCCTTGAAGGAGATTCTCCTGGGGGAGCAAGTGGGGCGGCTGGGCCTCAGAGCCGGGCATCCCCCCGCTCCACATCTTCCCCGGCCCCTACTGAGCCCAGCAACCCCGCCCGCCCACTCCACACCCTCCCCTCCTGTTCCCACCCGGCTTCGCGCTCCTGCTCCAACACGCTCAGCTCACTGTCCTCTCGGAGCCTGTGGACAGACTGTCCCTCTGCCTGCGACACTCTTGCCTCCACATTCACCTTAAACATCACCTCCTCAAAGAGGCCATCCCTTCCTGGCTGCACATAATGCCGGACCCCAGTTCAGTGCATTTTCAGCACGGATGTGCCAGACGTGCGATCCCACCTCAGGGCCTTTGCACTTGCCCTTCCCACTGCCTGGAACCCTCTTCCACCAGATCTGCTCACAACTCCCTCCCTCACTTCCTTCAAGTCTCTGCTTAAATGTACCCTCGTCTGCGGGGCTGTCCCCATGCAAATGAACTGTGCCATCTGCAATCGACTCGTTCCTTCCTTTCTCGTTTCTATAGGGGCAGAAGGCCCTCCTTGCCCACCCTCAGGCTGCAGACTCCACAGCAGCCAGGCTGGGGTTCCCGGCCCCACTGTGTCCTGAACCCGACGAGCTAAGCCCTGAACTCGCTGTGTCTGGCATCGTGTCATCTAATCGTAATGCAACCCAACAGATGAAGTAGGCTGATTGTTCCCATTTGACAGAGGAGGAGACTGAGGCTCAGAGAGGTCCCCTTGCAAACAGGTGGCAGAGTGGAGGTCAGAACTCGGGACTGCCGGCTCCAGAGTCTGCCTGCCACCCTGCCAGCTCAGGGCCCCAGCTGCCCCTGCTCCTTGCAGGCACCCCCTGAGTCACTTGGTCCTCGCCAGACGTATGAGGAAAAGCCCTCGCCTTGGAGTTTCACAGATGAACTCTGCACTCCTGCTCAGGCCTGCTCAAATCCCCACTTTACAACTTCCCAGCTGTGCGACCTTAGGCAGGTGACCTCCCCTCTCTGAGGCTCGGTTTCCCTGCCTACAAAAAGGGGTCCAGATGCCTGCCTCCAGGGTGGTCAGAAGGTGGACAGCCCTGCTGGGCGGAAAGACCCTCTCCTGTCCCCACCGTGGGCCCTGAGGGACTGCCAGCTACCAGCTCCAGTGGCCTGGCGGGAGCAAGCCCTCCCACCCCGGCTGGAGGGGAAGGTCCTGGAAAGAGAGGCAGAGCCCACCAAGGGTGGAATGACCCCGTGCTTCCACCCAGGCTCCCAGAGGGCTCCGGGAGCCACTCCGCACGCAGACCACTGCCCATCAGCGGTGGCAGAGCTGGGGTTTGGCCCCTGGAGCTTGAGTTCAGAGTCCTTCCCTAACCACTGCCCCACCCGGCCTTCAGAGCCTCAGGCCCTAGAGAGGCTGGGAGGCGGGACGCAGAGCTCCTGAGCCGCAGCGCCTGAAGGAGAGGGTGGGAGTTGGCGTGGGCCCAGCCTGACGAGGCTCCAGGCGGGCAGGGGGTCGGGGGTTGGGGTCCCCCAGCCTTGCTCACCTGGTGCGGCCCAGCTCCATCTTGCAGGGGTCCAGCTCCATGTACTTCTTCTCCTCAAAGACGCGGCTGATGACCGGCTGCAGGACCTCGTGCAGGTAGGGCATGCCCACGAGCTGGGGGCGGAGGGGGCACCACACGGGGCGGGGCTGAGGGCGAGGCCGGGCCGTGCCCTTGAGCGGGGGCCGGGGGACCCCGCAGGGAGAGGCCCAGAGGGAGGCGGGGCCGTGCCAAGGGCTGGGGTGGGGGACTCTACCTGGGGGCAGGTCAGGGCGAGGCCCGGCACCAGCCACCCCCCTCAGCTACCCGGGGCCACCTGAGGGCAGCCAAGCTCTGGGCTCCGAGTGAGCACTGGGAAGGGAGTCCCCCCGAGGAAGCTGCCGCCGGGCCCCACGGGGCCTTCACCTCCTCACCTTCATGAACTGTTCCATTGACTTAGATGCCAGGGAGTTGGAACGGAAGAGGGTGTTGGGGTCGGCTGGGAGGAGAGAGAAAAGGGTTTGCTGGGATTTGGGGGGGGCCATCTCACCCCCGCCACCCAACGTGGGGTCATGATTCTTCCAGCCTCAGGAATCGAGAGGACTTGCACCATCAACTCTGTTCACAGTACAGAGGCCCAGAGTGGTTTAACAAGGTTCTTAAGGTCACACAGCTCATGAGTAGCAAAACCAGGGCCTGAACCAGGACTGTGCTCCCAGTTGGCTGGATGCACAGCACAGGGGACACCACACACACACACACAGGAACCCCTGTCCTCTGCCCGAGGCCTCCCCATCCCCCCGCAGAGACCCCTCTGCAGACCTGCCCTTGAGGAGTGATGTTTGCAGGTCATGTGGGCAACTCACTGGTCCGCGCCACCTCACGCCGGGTGAGATAGTCCAGAAAGGGCCCGGCCAGGCCCTGGCCCAGAAACAGCTTCACCAGCCTGGTGGCAAGGTCCTGGCGGCAGTCCCCTGAGGTCAGCTCCTCCAGCACAGCCAGGGGGCTGGCAGCATCCTCCTGGGCAAGCACAGGAGGCAGGAGAGGTGGCCCTGGGACCCCAAAGCAGAAGAGCCCAGCTGGGGCTCCCTGAGGGAGGAGGCAGCGGTGACCCAGACCCCCACCCGCCCAGCGGGACTGCTCGTCGGACGCACCCACCTCTGCCGGCCCCAGCACCGCCGTGGCGAGCAGCTCCGAGAGTGGCCGGTAGTACCGGGAGGGCAGCACGCGGTCCTCCGTGAGGCGCACCTTCAGCCGCAGGGCGCCCAGGCTGCCCCTGGAGGGCCAGAGCAGAGCGGGGGGGACAGGGACGTGTGGGCGGGGGCAGCTGGCCGGGGCGGCAGGGTGAGCACAGTCAGGAGCAGGGGGATTCCGCAGAAGGACAGGTGGGAACTGGTGTGGGCAGGTGGGAACAGGTGTGGGCAGGTGTGGACAGGTGTGGGCAGGTGGGAACAGGTGTGGGCAGGTGTGGACAGGTGTGGGCAGGTGGGAACAGGTGTGGGCAGGTGTGGGCAGGTGGGAACAGGTGTGGGCAGGTGTGGGCAGGTGGGAACAGGCGTGGGCAGGTGGGAACAGACACCGACAGGTATGAACAGGAGTGGATAATGCAGACAGAGTAAAGAGATATGGCCAGTGTGCGAAGATGTGCCCAGTGAAACCCCATGTACAGGAATGGACAGTGCAGACAGGTGTGGGCAGGTGTGGAAGGACCCAAGGCTCTGACCACACACCCACAAGTGTGAACTGACACGCTCGCAGGTGGAGGGGATCAGGCGAATCACTTGGACACATGTAAACACACACCGTGGGCCATTTGACAAACATTTGTGAGATGAATGAGGGCAGGGACACGGTGACAGCTTGTGGCTGACGTGGGCACCGTGAGGACCTGCCCCCAAGCTGAAGATGGCACCCAGTGTGCTTCCAGCCTGGCCTCCTCCCTCCGCGCCCACATTTACCCAGAATCCTCCTCGGCTCTGGGAAAGGGCCGGAGGCGGAACCAGCCATTGGGGGGCTTCTGCTGCAGGACCTGAGGGGGGAACTCCACCTGTGGGGGGACACACGGACCCTCAGCCGAGCCCTGCCCTGCTGGGGCCAGACCACCGGCCCTGGAAGGAGAGCTCAGCCTGCCCACGCAAGGAGCCATAGCCTTCTAGGCGCCACCTCCTGCCCCCACCGTGTCCCATCCACACGACAGCAGCGACACGCCCTCCCCCTGCCAGGGCACTGAGGGCCTCCAGAGCACACTTAATTTACAGTTGCGGAAACTGAGGCTCAGAGAGGTGGAGTGACGCGCCCAAGGTTACACAGCTGCTAGAGACAGCATGTCTGGACTGAGTATATCTTCAGCTCTGTTTAGGGACACAAATTGCATCTAGCAAAAGCCTTCCAGACAGTCCAGAAGAACCTGAGCCCCGTCCCCTCCCTTCTGAAATAACTTTAGAGAGACAGAAGTTGTCTCCCATTCAGTTCACCAATTTAAAGTAAATCATTCAACGGTTTTTAGTCTATTCTCTGAGTTGTGCAACCATCACCACTGATTTCAGAGCATTTTCTGTCAGCCCCCCAAAGCCTGTACCCATTAGCAGCCGCTCCCCATCTCTCACCCCGACCCCCAGCCCCTGGCAACCACTACTCCACTTTCTGTCTCTATGGATTTGCCAATTCAGGACATTTCATATAAACAGAATCGTACAATCACACAGATTCTTCTGTGTCTGGCTTCTTTCACTTAGCGTCATGTTTTCAAGGTTCATCCGTGTCACAGGATGTGTCAGCCCTTCACTGCTTTTTATGGCTGAATCCTATTCCACTGTAGGGTGGACCACGTCCTGTCTGTGCATTCATCCCTCGATGGAGGTGTGCGGACTTTCCACTTTGGACCATTGTGAAAACACTGCTGTGCACATTCAGGGTCAAGTTCTGTCGTGTCCGTCTGTTCTCATCTCTCCCGGGCACACGCCTACGAGCGGAATTGCTGGGTCCGGCGGTAACCCCATCTTTAACCATTTGAGGACCGGCCGGGCTGTTTTCCGAAGCGGCCGCACCATTTTACATTCGCACCAGCAGCGCATGACCGAGCCTCCCCGCCTCACCATCTGCTCTCCTCTTCCCGCCTTTGGAAAACTGTCAGCCCTGAGTCTCCGTCCATCACTCCTGAGAGGCAGGAGCAGTCACACCCATTGCACAGACGGGGAAATTGAGGTTCCAGGAGAACCCAGCGGAGCGTGGCGTTTCCAGGAGCAGGAGTTAAGGGTTTGGATTCTGGAGTCAGAGAGACCTGAACTCAAATCCTGGCTCTGCCGTTTCTTTGTCATGTGACCATGGGAAAGTTACTTCACCACTCTGGGCCTGTTTCCCCACGTGTAAAAAGGGGATGACGATAGTCCCAGCCTCAGGGGTGGCCACGAGGGTTATGTAAATGAGGTTATGTGGGAGAAGCGCTCAGCCCAGGGCCAGCACACGACATCCTGGGTACTCTCATCCGGAGGAAGACTCCGGGCCCGCCCTGTGACCTCGGGCAGGTTCCTGCACTTTTGAGAGCCTCCGTTTCCCCACCTGTACCAGGAGCGATGCGACTCCATCACCCAGGCCGCCTTCACATCTGCCCTCTGGGGCCCAGGACGCCCGGCCCGTCTCCCTCCTCCTTCCCCCTCAGTGGCGATGGGGAGCCACAGCGGGTGTTGGAGGGGGGCACTCACCATGCCCAGGAAGTCGTTCTTGCCCACCATGTCCCAGTCCCAGAGCTCCACTCGCAGCGGGGAGGGGGCACCCGGTGCCGCCCGCAGCTCCAGCACCTCGTCCCAGCGTGGGAAGCGGGTCTTCTTGATGGTCTGGGGAAGGAGGGGGTGAGGGGGGAGCACCCACCACCGGCCCCCAGCCTCCCCGGCTCCACCCCACACTCACCGACGTCTCCACGCTCTGGCTGCCCCAAAACACGCGCGCGAAGGGGTCAGACGTGCCCGAGATGTCTCGGGGGGCCAGGTCCCTGGGGACAGACGAAGAAAGGAGTGGGGGCAACACAGGACCCCTGAGGACCAAGACCCCAGCTGGACCCTGGGAAAGGGGTTCAGGTTGGACCATTCAGATGCCACTGGTTTCCATGACAACGAACCGCTCCATTGGAGGGACCGAGCGAGGAGCGCTCCCGCCGTGCCCGTCCAACCCCGGTACCTGCCTGTGGACTAACACGACCCTACGAGGAGGCACCAGTAGATGAGGAAACCGAGGCACAGACAGGTCGAGTCCTGCCTCACGAAGCCCAGCAGGTGCACAGGGGAGGGGAAGGGAGCCTCAGTTTCCCTGGAGCCCCTGGATGGGAGGACAGGCCAAAGGACAAGGTGCCAGGGTTCAAAGCCTGGCTATGCCATTCACTGGCTGGGCGACACTGGGAGCCTCAGTTTCCTCATCTGGCAAATGGGAGTAAGAACAGACCAACCTCTCAGGGCCAAGGGTTAAATGAGATGAAGTGTGGTGACTGCTCAGCTCATTCATTCATTCAACAAACACTCATGCCCACACCCTGCCTGGGACCCAAGAAAAGGCACGAGGCAGAGACCCCCTACCTCTGGTTGCCATGACAACCCAAAAGTCTCACCTCAGTCAGCCTCCCCCATCCTTCCTGAGGTCCCCCAAATCCAGGGACATCTCCCCCGACCAGGGGCTGCCTGCTGCTTCCTGCTGCTCATCTCCCACCCCTGCTCAGCATCCAAAGCCTTCTCTGGTTTCCTAGGAGCCAGCCCAGTTGCTAAGCGACAGCGATCGGTCCCTCTCCTGCTTGCAAGGATCCTGCACAACCTTGTGGCTGGGGAGGAGGCCATGGGCACAAAGCAGACGAGGAGCCCCTGCCCCAGGCTGAGTCCTTTTGCCTGTCCTCTACCCCTGCGTACTCCATCCAGACTCCAGGGAGCCCCAGCTGGGGGAAGAAATCTGGAGGTGTGGGAGAGGCACAGAGAGGGCAAGAAAGGGCCTTAAAGTCACACAGCAGACTAGAAATAGAGATCCTCTCCTACCTGGGCGAAGATTGGCCTAAAAGTGAAGGCTGGAGGTGTAAGGTGTGAAGATAAGGCAGAAAGACAAGAGGGGAGATGAGAGGGAAGGAGGGTGGAAGTATTTAAGGAAGCAGAAGGATGGGGCGCTGAGGAAGAGGGAAGGGGAGCAGAGAGTGATAAACAGGCAGGAGGAAAGATGGGTGTCCCACGCGCTGGTGCCCCGGGAGGGTCATCTGTGGGTTTCACTGGTCCTGCCTCTGCCTTCCTTCTGGTGTTTCCTGGGGGCAGGACCCACCTTCCCTCACTGCCAGCCCACAGGGCTTAGGCGGCTGATCCCTCCCTCCACTCCAGGAATGGGCTTACAACTCAGGCCTGACCAACGAGAGTCAGTGTCATTGGTTCAGAGACGGGCATATGCCCCAAAGTGAGCCAATAAGAATTAGTCCCAGGACATTGGTTGGAAATGGTGAGAGACAGAAGTTCTTTTTCAGTTGGAGCGGCCAAGGTGGTAAGATGCCAGCCTGGGGCTGCTGGGGTCATCTTTGCCCCCACCTGGGGGGAGATTCCCTGAGAATGAAGCTAACACAAAAGACAGCCGAGGAATCTGTATCTACAGATTTCTGATGTCACTGTTTGAGCACCTGGATCCAGCCATGCCTGAAGCTACATGTCATTCATATGAGCCAATCTGCTCAAGCCAGTATGAATTGGGTATCTATTGCTCACAATTTGATTAATACACCTCCACACTCATGTGTCTGGCCATCCTGAGTGTCTGGCCTTTGTTTGCTGGTCACTGGGGACCCAACAAGGATTTCGCTGGTGCTTTAACCCCAGAAACCTGCAATCCGGTAGCTTGGACTGTTTACCTACAAGGGATCCTGTTTGAGCCCAGGGGTGTCCCAGGAGTGAGGTGATCTCAAAGGCCAAGACATCTGGGGGTACCCAGTGGATTCCCGCTCATTCTCCGAGCACCCCCCACCCCAGCCCACATCAGGACCATACCTGGCCTGGAGCACATGACAGCGAAGACAACGGCCCAGTGCATCCTCCAGCATCTGCACGGCCAGGCAGATCTCACCCTGTACCTCTGCATCCGGGTCCACGCGGCTCAGGTTGATCCAGCTATCGATTCCTGGAGGGCAGAGGCGCCAACATTTATTAAGCACCTACTGTGTGCAAGGCATCATGTTAACCTAAAAGCTGAATTAACATGAAAAACGTGTTAAGTCCTGGCCTTCCTGGGAGCCTTCCGGTGGAGGTACCGTGATTACCCCCCTTCCAGATGAGGAACGTGAGGCACGGGGGGGAGCCCTTTGCCCACGGCCCCACTGGGAACGGCAGAGCTAGGAGTTAAAGGCAGGCAGACAGCTCTGGGGCCACTGCCCTTAACCAAGCATCACCACGCTCTTCACGCTGGCACAGAAAGCCCTCCGTCTGTTAGTCCTGACATACTCTCCCCCCACCAAAATTGTGGGCGTTCCTATCTCTGAGCCTTCGTCCGGGCCATTCTCCCTGCCCGAGTCAGTGAGGTCGACCCCAATCTCTGCCTTTCTTTCATTTCCCTCAACACTTTGTAATTATTGGAAAGTCATTCAGCCTAATAATTGACCTTGTGTAAATGGTCTGTCTTTTCTCCCTCATCGTAAGGACGACGGCTTTGACGTTCGGCAGCTTCACTGCAATGTGTCTAGGTAAGGATGTCAGTTTACCCTCCTTCGTACAGGTTGTGCTTCCTCTATTTATGGAACCATATCCTCCCTTGAGTTCTGGAAAATTCCAGGTCATCAATTTTTTTTAATCATTTCCTCTCCTCAATTTTTATATTATTATTTCCTCTCCCTAATTTTTTCTATTCTCTCCTAGGACTCCAACTAAATGGGCGTTAGACCTTCTGGATTATTTTCTATGTCTTTGAACTTCTCTTTTTTAATTTCCTTCTTGTTTTTCTGGGCTAAAGTCTAAATAATTTCTTCGGCTCTCTTCCAGTTCACTAACTCGCACGTCAGTTCTGAGGGATCCACTGTGGGACTCAGTCACGTAGTTTTCAATCGCAATAACTATGCCTTTTATCTCTAAAAGTTTGCTTTGGTTCTTTTTCAAGTCTGTTTACTTTTTTAAGGTATTGCTTTAATTTATTGTGGTTATTGCTGGCCCTTTCTGGTGGTTATACTTTTTATTTATTTAATTTTTTTTTCCTGAGGAAGATTAGCCCTGAGCTAACATCTGCTGCCAATCCTCCTCTTTTTGCTGAGGAAGACTGGCCCTGAGCTCACATCCGTGCCCGTCTTCCTCTACTTTATATGTGGGACGCCTGCCACAGCATGGCTTGCCAAGCGGTGCCATGTCTGCACCCGGGATCCGAACCAGCGAACCCTGGGCTGCCGAAGTGGAGTGTGTGAACTTAACTGCTGAGCCACCTGGCTGGCCCCTATTTAATTGTTTTTAAATTCTGTGCATCATAATTACAAAATCTAAAGTCTTCGTGGGTCTAAGTTTGATGGTTATCGTTCCCGCTGGCCCCTGCTCCCGGTGGCCCACTTCCTGGTGTGGGGTGATTTTTGATTGTGAATTCATGTCTGTTTGAGCTTCCTCTGCAGGAAACTGAACATGAGGATGCTTGTCCCCGGAGAGGATGGTGCTCGCTCGTCCTGGGGGGTCTCAGTCTAACGGGGACTTCTGGGGTCAATAACACCCGCCTCGCCCCTGGCCCGAGATGGGTCTCTTTGTCGACTGTGGATTTGACGCTGACCTCCACTGTCAGGGCCACCCTTGCTTCCTCTCTTGCTGGGCCCCACTCCCTGCTAGGTTTCAGCCCATGATCGGGACGGAGGGGAGACTGTGGGTTTCTCCTTCCTCACGGCAACCCCAACAACGCACTAGGAATCCCGCCTAAGTCAGGGTCTCGCCGTGAGGTGGCGGGAGGCCCTTCTGAGGATCTGGTCCCCCTGCCACTGAGAGTGTAAGTTCTATCTCATCTCTCCCTGTCGCCTGCTCCCCCCAAGTGCAGGACACCACCAGCTTCCTCTCACTTAATCATCGCCGCAGACTCCTACTTGATCGCCCACATCTACTTTTGTCCCCTGTGATCCAATATCCACAAAGCCACTCAGGGATCTACTCCCTCCCATCACTCCAGCCTCCCATAATAGGGCTCCAATCTCTGCACTGTTTTGCTCCAGGACCATCAATGGCTCCCCAGTGCCTCCAGAAGAAAGTCCAGCCTCTGGCCTGGCACCTGGAGCCTCTCCACCCACCCCGCCCAAGTGCCCCATGTGGCCTGGCCTGTGCCTGGTCCTAGAAGAGAAACCCTGGAGAGACAGCTTAGCATCTTTGCGATAGCCCCTTTAAGGACCCACTCATGCCCCTTCCTCCAGGAAGCCTCCCCCGACCACGCTAGCCCTCACTGCCCCCTCCTCCACTGTCAGGCCAGTGATGCTCCATATACCTCCACTCCCACATTTCTGTCCTGTTCAAAAAATAAAAAGCGCCCACGTGCAGACTCATGACAGTTTCATTTTCCCTTCCCCCCTGTTCTGTGTGAATGTGTTTTGTTTTTCTATCTGGTCCACAAGCTCCCTGAAGCTGGGCCTCATCCTCCATTCATTTAATTCCACTCCCTTGGGAATGTTTGGGGCACACTGGGTACAGCCCAGGGCACAGGTTAGGGACACAGACGTTGGAGGCGGGCGCAGCCTGGGCTCGAGTCCCACTTCTACAACTTCCGGGAGGGGCAAGTCACCTCGCCTCTCGCAGCCTCACCGCCCATCAGCCACAAATTCAAGGTCACTCTAGCGCACAATTCACTTGGTGTTGTCAGGACTAAACAGAAAGTGCTTAGCACCCTGCCTGGCACATAGGGAGCCCTCACTAAATAGGAGCAATGATTGTGCTGATTAGCACACAGTAGGATTTCAACTAACTCCCACTGATGAAAAAATACATTGTTCAATAAATGGTGTTGAGACAATTAGTACTCACCCAGACAAAAAGTAATAAAGGTCAATCCCTACCCCGTACCTTGTCTCTGGATAAATTCCCAACATATGAAACACTTAAATGTAAAAACAGGAAACAAATTGTTGCTAGAAGAAATCATGTAAAAAAAATTTCTTAATCTTAGGGTTGGGAAGGCCTTTTTAGGTGTCAGAGAAAATCAAGAGCCAAAAAAAAAAAGATGGAGTTGACTACAGAAAAAGAAATAAATTTTATACATGGAAAAACTGTAAGCAGAGTCAAAACATAAGCCACAAAGGGAGAAAAAATATTTGCAGCTAATATGACAAAGAACTAATTTTCCTCATATGTAAAGAGTGCCTACAAATCAATAATAAAAGGCAAACAACCCAGTGCGGGGGGTGGGGAGGGATGCACATAGAATATGAATAGACAATAGACAACAAATGAAATGAAGTGACTCTTAAATATATAAAAAGGTTTTCAACTTCACTCATAGAGAAATGCACAATAACCTATGCTGAAAGGCCATTTTTACCTCTCAGATACAAGATCAAAAAGTTTGGTAATTGTTGACAAGGGTACAGGGTGTGTAAATTGTGACCTCCTCCATGGAGGGTGATCTAGCAATATCTATCAGCCATGAGTTCCACCTCTGGGAATTGACCAGTTCTGATTGATGCAACGTGCACAGGTGTGAAACCCCGTTTGTACAAGGCTATTCACTGTAGCATTGTTTGAACTAGGAAAAGATTGCAAACAACCCACGTGCCCATCAGTAGAGGCCTGGGCAAATAAATGACGGCACATCCACACAACGGAGGGCCGTGAACTCACACAGAGATCAAAGGATGGGGAGGCTCTGGGGCACCAATATAGAAAGATCCCCGAGACCCATGGCGAGGTGAAGACGAGGCACAGAGCAGTGACTGTAACAGGCTCTCATTCCTGGAAGCAGAGAACAGAGCACACACCGTGCAGAGTGGCAAGCACAGACTCTGGAGCTGGACGGCCTTGGTTCAGATCCTGGCCAGCCCGCTCAATGACTCTGAGATCTTGGGCGACTCACTGGGGCCCCCGTGCCTCAGCCTGTTCCCCTGTGGAGCGGGGACAAGCAGAGCACCTGCCTCATAGGGTTGTTACCGTCGTCAAGTGAGTGGGTACATGGAAAGCATTCAGAAAGTGCTCCGTATACAGTAGGCACTATATAAGTGCTTGCTGCTATTACTATTGTTGCTTGCTTGCCTATGTTTGAAACACCTCCAGAAGGACATAGAAGAAATGGACAACACTGGGACGAGAATGGGGTCACCGGGGTGAGAGGGACAGTTTCACTGCGATCTTGGATACTGAACTATGTAAATGAATGAACTGCTCAATAAAAGAACCAAATTAAAATTAAACTCCATTAACAACAACAGCTGAAATAATTTCCACTGAAGGCTCCATGCTTCCCCGCACTGCCCGCTCTGCCCTCGAAAATGCCCCCTCTTGACATGGCCGTCCTCTCCTCCCTCTGCCCAGCAGGGCGCCGGAGCCCCTCACCCACCTCGAGGGTCAGCGGCAATCGCGTCCCTGCTCAGCGACACCTTGCCGATGACGTCGTCGTGCCTGCGGAAAGGCGGCGGGGTGAGGGTGCAGTCAGGGACCCCACCCCGCCCGTGGAGTGAGGGGGCAGGCAGCAAGGGCTAGGGGGCCGGTACTTGGTTCCGAGGCGTCCCGCCTCCCCTCCGGCGCCCGGGCCTGGGTCCCCAGCACACACACCCCACTGTATCTTCATCCAGCACGTAGAAGGCCAGCTGGTGAAAGTCCAGGGGCAGGTGCACGGTGTACTCCTCCCCCCAGAAGGGGCTCAAGCTCCGCCAGATGGTTGCTGTCCTGCCAAAGGGGGCACAGAGGGCTGGGGGGCCTTGGGCCACGCAGGTGGCAGGCACCTGGGGACCCAGAGACACACACACACACACACACATGAGAAGGGGCTCCACACATGCAGACACCCAGAACCTAGATACACACCCACCCAGGGACACACACACACACACACAAACCACACACATGAACCCAGGCGTAGAGATACACACAAATACACACACAAACCTCGACACACACAACCAGAGACCTCAACACACACACGTGCACACACTCTGCCCTCTACCCCAGCCCAGGGCATCACCATCAGACGAACCCTTCTTCCCAAATACCCGCTGCCCCATGCCCTGGCCTTTTCCCAGCTGGAAGTCCCTCAGGTTCCCCAGCCCCTAAGCTGAGAGGCTCCTCAGAGCCCAGAGACGGGGAGACAGCAGCCTGGAGACACACAGAAAATCCATCTGCGGGTTTAGGGGCAGTATCACAGAAGGCAGTGATGGGACAGCATGAGCACAGAGAGAACGATGGAGGGGGGGTCAGCTGGGGTGCTGCGAGCTGACCCTCCCCCATGCGCGCTCCTCGCCCCCAGCTCCCGGCCCATCTGGACCAGAACTGGCGCCAGGAGCATCCTGAATCCTGCCGTCTCCATAGGAACGGAGGCCTCAGCCACCCGCCCACCCGCACCTCTCAGGCCTTCGGGGGCTGAGAGCTGTCCCTCGGCCTGCGGGGGTGGGAGCCAAGCACGGCCCAGCCCCATGTCCCCCCGCCCGACACACACACATCCTCACACCTCACACATGTTCACACCAGTGCCTGTCTACCCAAATAAGCAGGCAGGGGCCACATATGTGTGACCAGCACAGCTCATGTGTGTGTGCACAGGCACGCACACACACGTACACAATGTGAGCCTGTGCACCTTGCACACCCACAGGACACGTGCACGTGGTCACAGGCGTTCACACCAGCCCTCCATCACCCACACACACACTCACAAGCAGGCCCAGCTGGGTGCACGCACACATACACACACACCCCGATGCCCGCAGCACCCAGCAGGTCCGGAACCAGCCAGCCCAGCCAAGCGTGAGATGCCCGCCCCCGGGGAGGCCACTGGGGGAGGCACAGGCTGCCAGCCGCTGAGTCAGGCCCAGGGAGCTGGCAGGGACATCAGCAGGTCCAGGGGGGCAGGGGTCGGCCAGTTGGTGGGCTGGATGGAGAGAGGAACTGGCAGCCCCAGCCGTGGGGCCCTGAGGCCAGGCACACGGTGCCCACCGTGAGGCTGCAGGTCCACCGTGGGGCAAGCCTTTCAATGCGAATTCGCATGCCTGGACTCCCAGGTCCAGAAGGTGCCCTCTGCCCTGCTCCCGTCGCCCCAGGCCTGGCCTCCGCACTCCTCACCTGGCCACCACCTCGTCGTCCACTTTCACTATGCAGTAGGGGTCACTGCTCCCAGACCTGCAGAAGAGGGGGTTCAGGGAGGGGGGCTGGGAGGCAGCCACGGTGGGGGGTCCCAACCCACCTTCAGTATACAGAGAGGGGAGACTGCGGCCCCGGGTCACACAGCAAGTCAGCGGAGACGCAGCACCAGCGGAAGACGTGACAGCTGCCCAGCGCCCACCGCGTGCCGGGCCCCCCACACGCGGGCTCGCTGCGCTCCCACCCACAGAAACACAACACTGAGGCATGAGCCAGGAGGCCAAAGGAGCACTCAAGAGCGCATGCTCGGGAGTCATCCCTGGCTCTGCCACCTGCTGGCTGCAGCATCCTGGCAGTCCCCTCCCCGGTGGCCTCAGTTTCTCTGCCCTATGAATCGGGCGTGATATTAGCACACACCTCCTCAGGCAGGGGAGTAACTAGAGGGGACAATGCCAGGCGGGATGCAAGCCAGCTCACCTGAGCCCTCCCCACGCGGCCTCGATGCCATCGTCTGGGGTGAGCATTGCCCTCTCTGGAGCGTCATTTCAATGCCAGTTTCCCCGGAAAGGGGACTTCCCGAGGCTCGGCCTTCAGTGGGGACGGCCCTCAGAAGACTCTCCCACTGCAGGCCCAGACCAGAGCACCCAGACCTCAAAATGCAGCCCATAGGAGAGATAGGCTGCATCCCCTTGAGTGGCCACGAGCCATCAGTCAACCAAAGCCAGCACAATCCCCTCTTCATAATAAGAGTTACCAGTCCATCCCAAGCTGTCAGCCAGGGGCCCTCCCCCAGTGCCATCTGCTCCCCTAGTCCCCCCACACAGGCCTCCTTTGCCTTCCACCAAGCTCAGGCTGCCCTCAGGGCCTTTGCACTTGCTGTTCCAACTGCCTAAGACACTCTGTCCCTGATCTCATCATGGCTGTCATTCAAAAGTTGGACCAAAATTCACCTGCTCAGAGAGGCCGTCCCTGACCTCCACCATCCCGTGTAAACTTGACCTCCGGTCCCTCTGAGCACCCAAACTCATCCTGCCCCCTTGTGAGCTCCTTGGGGGAGGACCTGCACCCCCCCCCCCACCCCAGCCTGGCAGAGTCAGGATTGGAACCCCAGTCTACGGGGCTCAGCATACACGCTCTTAACCAGCGCCGCCTCCACCCAGCTCACCATCGCTTCCCCAACGGCCCCCTCCCTCGAGGCCCGGCTCCGCCCTCTCCCGCTGCCACCCCCTCTCCGTCCAGTTTGTCAGGGCTCCCCAAATGCCTCCAGGATTCCAGGGACGAGGCACGTGGGCCCCAGGAGTCGGCTCCAGCCTGAGCCTCGTCTGCAGGCTCCCGTGTGCCTCAGTTTCCTCTCCGGACTCCTTCCCTCAGCCAGTCTGCTGGGTGCTCCAGGGCCTCCATTTCCCCATCCGGTCTCCAACCCTGAACACCTGAGCCTGGGCGGCGTCCTGCGTCTCTGAGTTCCTCTCTGAACTCTCATCTATGAGGCCCCAGGCCTCAGTTTCCCCTTCTGGACCTATCCCAAAACCACCGGGCTGTGGAACCCCAGGAGCCTCAGTTTCCCCATCTTGCTCTGCCCCCCGGGATACCCGTGGCTGGGTAAGCCCCATATCTCATTTCCCTCTCTGGGTTCTCCACCCCCAATCTTCTTTTAGGCAAGCTCTCATTCCTCAGTTTCCCCAGCTGCAGATGTGGGGCCGGATTGGCTGGGATCCCATTGGCAAAGGGCTGGGAGACACGCCCCCTCCCGTGGAGCCATCCTGACCCCGGCCCCTTGTGGGAGCCAAGCTCCCACGTCGGCTCCAGGGCTCTGACGCACGAGGCCTTATCAGGCTCCTATCAGGTAGGGGCAACGGCAGCCGGGGGGCCACCCCCTCCAGACCCTCCATCTCTCCGGACCCTTGGCCTCTCCCACGGCCCCTGCCCCACCTCAGGCATGGGAAAAGAGGCCCCTTGGCCACTGCCTGCCCAGTCTGGTTTGTGCATGGGAACAGTCAGGGTTCAAATCCTAGCTGTGTGACCCTGGGCAAGCGACTTTGCTTCTCTGGGCTGGGACCATAGGAAGTGTTAAGCACAGGACCTGGCCCATAGTAAGCCCTGGAGCTTACAGCTGCTATTATTAATGACAGTAATAACTCTACGAGTACCGACTGAGGCCTCCTCCAGAGCCGGGTCGGACCCCCCTCAAATCTGGTGAGGCTTCGGGAAGAATCCAGGCCCTTTCCCTCGGGAGAAGAGAGGGAGAAAACACCCCATGTAAGACCCCCATGGGCATGGAGATCGCAGCATCCTCTGGGGAGAGCCCCTCTAAAGAAGGGCGAACAGTGAGGGAAACAGGCAGGGTGGCTGGATCCCCAACTGGGGCTTAGTGACTCCTCCCTACCCTTGCTCCAGGGTGAACCCACCCCAGAGCTCACCTTGGCCTGGGAACCTGGGGGAAGAGGGGTCAAGAGACGCGGGAACCAGGCACGACTCGACCCCCTCCTCAGCAGAGGCAGAAGGAGCCCAGAGAACCGGGTCCACGGACAACACCTGCCACCCCCTCGTGGCCCTCACCCAGGACTGGTGGAGCGGCCAGAGCACAGCGGGATGGAGCCCGGGCTCTGGAAGGGTCCCCTCAGCCCTCTAGCAGCTGCCAGGCCTCCACTCCTGGCCTCCTTGGCCCAATGGTTCCAGAATCTCGAATGCTCAGGGGCTCTGAGAGGGCATCTCAGCGACGGAGGCAGGGGCTCGTCCAGACGCTGCATTTGCACCGCAGGCTCTCTGCTTTTCGTGTCAGGTGCGTGTTTATTTGGGGTAGCTGATGAGGATGGGGGGGCGGGGAAAACTGCTCTAAGCAAACCGCCCCCCCCCCACTGCCATGGCACAGCTGCATGTGGGGAGGGGGGCGGTTCATGAAGTCACTGGCAGGATGCTCCCACTGGGGGTCCACGGCCTGGGCAGCTAGGGTACAGCTAAGCCCCAACCTCGACCTGCGCAAAGGCCAGAATCCAGTTTCCGGCTCACCTTGGCCGCCGGGGAAACCCCAACAGGTGCTCCACCCTCTCGGCCGCAGGGCACTTGGAGACTCCTGTCCAGAGCTCCCAGCGCCCAGATGGGAAATCGAGACCCAGAGAGGACCAGGTTCAAGGTCACACAGCCAGTGACCTGCCAAGGATCCCGCAGCCGCCCCGGGTGCTGACACCCTCAGAGCTCCTTCTGGGCTCCAGGCCAAACAGGAGGGGGACCCCTCCGGCCATTCTGCTGATTCGGCAGCTGCTGACTCAGCCCTGGGGAAGCACAGCCAAGGACTACTAGCACCAGGGCAGCCCAAGGGTCCTCGAGCCCCATCACACCTGGCCACCGAGGGGGCTGCAGGGCGCTCCGGTGGCTTAGCATGCAAGGAAGGCCCACACTGGGCTGGGAGCTCCCAGACTGAGGGGCTCAGAGCTCTGGATCAAGAGGACCCGTTTCCCCGGGGGCCTGGCTGGTGGGCCACCTGGTGACACTCTGCAAACCTAAACATTAGATGTGCCCGGAGGAATGCTGGGGCCACCCGGGTCCTGCGCCCTCCAGCGCTCCTCCCCAGGGTTCTCTTGATAGGAACCCACCCAAACCTGGAGAAATCCCACTTCCAACACCTGCCTGGATGAAGGAAGAGACACCCCCCCACACCCCCCCAGACCCCAGCCAATCCCTTCCCCAGCTGGGACGGAATCTGACTCTCCAACCCCCTCTTCAGCCCTGGAAGACCCCTCTAGTGCATCCCAGAACAAAGACACCCCCCTTCCTGGGGGCGGGGCATCTGCTAAGTCTGGGCGCCCCCTCCCACCAGGACAGCCACCGGTATGGGGCCTCTCGCCCCGGGAAGGCAGCTCTGTGCCAATACTGGGTCTGAGACGAGAACCCCACACCCACTTCACCGACCCTCCCTAGCATTCGGAATGGGTGACCCCCGCCCCATCCCATGTGCCGTGCGTCCCTCACCCCCGCCGCGCCCCGGGGGTACTCACACGTCCTTGGCGGGCAGCGCCCGGCCCTCCACCACGCGGACGTTCAGGGAGCTGCTCTTGGCCATGGCGCCCAGCCTCAAACTTTCCGGGCAGGAGGGCGCCCAGGTTCCGAGGCTGGACCGCGGAGAGGACGTCTACATGTCACCAGCTGCCAGACTGGCGCCCTGTCCCGGGGTCCCAGCGCCGCCTGTCCGAGACGCGTGCAGCTGGGCGGGAGGCTTCCGAAGGAGGAGAAAGGAGAGGCGTCGGGGAGGGGGCGCCCCCCGGACTCCACAGGTAGGAGCGGCGCGCCGAGCAGGCGGAGCGCGCAGGGGGCACCGCCAGCTCTTGCCTCCCGGTCTGGAGCTCCTGGTGGGCGGGCAGGGGGCGGCCCAGCGCCCTCCCCCCAATCCCGCCTCCCGCGGGGTCCCCCGCCCGTCCCCGCGTCCCCTCGCGCGCCCTCTGCCGGCACCCCAGCCAAGCGCGCCAGAGCGCACCGGCCGCGGAGACCCGGGCGCGGCTGCCGGGACTGCCAGGTGGGGAGCGGCACGGCCATCATGGGCGTGGCCGCTGGCTCCTGGTGAGCTGGCACTGGGCTCGGAAGACACAGTCTGTCCCCTGCTTGCGCTCCTTCCAACACGTCCACACCTCCGCGGCCTCCCCTGCCTACCCTCCGGCGCCGCCTCCTCCGTCCGACCTCCATGCCCTGTCCGGGAGCGGTATCCGCGGCCCGCGGGAGGGGTCGCTAGAGTGAAGGTCGCACATTCTTGGGGGTCCGTTCAGAGTCAAGGGAAGGGCCTCGAATATCCCCCCATCTCTTTTCGTTTCCGATGAAACTCAGACCGTGCGAGCGGCAGCTCCCACGTCACGGGCTGGCACTGCGGGGGAGGGAGCCGCGGCCGGAGGGGGAGGGGCAGGCTGGCGGATAACAGCACCACAGCGATGATAAAAGTCACCTAGACTTGTTTGCACACTTACTATTGCCGGGCACTGTTCTAGGTGTGTAACAAGCATTATCTCATCTTCGTTCTCAAATATCTCTATGCACTACGTACTGTTGTACTGTTACCCCCATTTCACGGATAGAGACCCTGAGGTTCAGAGGGCTAAATGGCTTGCAGAAGGTCTCACAGGCAGTAATTGGTTCGCCTTCTTGGATTTGGATCCTGACCTGCCACTTGGTAGCTGTGTGGTCTTGGGCGAGTTACTTAACCTCTCTGTGCCTTGGTTTGGTTTTCTCACGTGTTCAATGGGAATAGCATGGTATCTCAATAACAGGGTTTCAAGAGAATTAGGTGAGATAGAGCAGCTATGAAGGAGGCAAACCCAGGTCTCAGAACAGGGACAGGCACATCAGAAGCTCTCAGAAAGTATCTGATATAAATATTATTGTCCTCCAAGGTATAGCTCAAATGGCACCTCTCCTGGGACGTCTTCCAGGATGCCCTCCCACCCCAGGCAGAGGTTTTCTCCCCTTTTCTCTGCTCCTGTGGCTCTAGGTTCCTACATTTTTCACGTTTTAAATGAGATAATGTGGCCAGGAGGCCAGTCCCAGGGCAGATACTGACGTGCACACTATTTCTCCCCGTGGGTTTGTTGTTTACCTGCCTGAGTCCTTACAAGGGCTGGTGCTGAGCCTGACTCACTCAGTCAACCCAGGGCTGGGCACCGATAGGAAGGCCCCTATTGGCGGGAGCCGCCACCCAAACCTGCGGGACTGGAGGGCCCTGCCCAGCCACATGAGTGGCCCCGTGGACTGCCTCCCAGTGTCTCTCCTCGACTTCCTACCTGGCACCCCAGCCAGGGAGTCCCCCAACTTCCAAAGACTGGGCCTCAGTTACCCCACCTGGGAAATGGGTCTAGCGGGGCTGGCCACAGGTTTAGAAGTACTGCAACATCCTTCAGCATCCGGGGGGATGAGGGCTGATCCAGGGTGGGACCAGAACAGTGGCAGCCCCAAGGGACTATTTAGAGCCCCCTCATCTTTATCAGTCACCCCCGATCCTCGCCAGGGGAGAGTGGCCCTTGCTGAGTGACTGCTACTTCAACACAGCGGCCCTGCCGCTCCCCTCCACCTGGGTGGCAGCTTTTGGCGGACACTTTTTCTTCTGAGATCCTGCAGAGACCCCAGATAGGCTGTCTAGCCCCGGAGACCCCTGATGGAATCTATGGGGGGTGTAGTCCTGGGGCCACCTGGGATGCCAGCCAAACTGCCACCCAGCCCCCTCGGCCCGTCTTCCGGAGCTGAGCAGGAAGTCACTTCCCAGACGCCCCTCCCCAGGCCCCCAGGGGATTACAAAGGCTGTGGGCTGTGCCACCCAGGCCTCCAGGGAGCCAGCTCTGTCACCTGTCCAATATCCTGCGTCTGACCCTGCAATTCGTCTGGAGCTGTGACCACGGTCCCCAGACTTTCTGAATGGCCTGCCCACTTCCTGTTGTTCTGAGAAGCTCTGACCCGAAACTAGCAGAGGGTTTGAGGTCTCTGAGGGAACCCCCTGTCACAGGACCCAGGGGGAAAGGTGGCCCGGAGAAGGAGAGTGATCTGCTGGAAGCCACCCAGCTGGGAGAGGGGACGGCAGGCTCAGGGGCACCAGGCTGGGGCTGTCGTGTGGGAAGGGCCTCACCTTTCTCAGGGGTTGTGATGAGAGTTAATCCAGAGGGCAGTGTAACCCCTTGCATCACTCCTGGTACACAGTAGGTGCTCAAGAAATAGTTAGCCCCCTCCCCTTCCCCTTCCTCTAAGCTTCTTAAAGACAAACCCACGATCATCTTCTTGCCAACGTCCTGCAGTCCGGCACCCACGGGGTGCACACAGCAGGTGCTTCATAAAGCCGTAAGTGGGAGGAGATGCTGAGCTCAGGGTTGAAGAGCAGAGGTTCCAGCATCCAGCCAGCCTGGGGTTGAATCCTGGCACCTACACTTACGAGCTGGGTGTTCTCGGGCAAGTGACTTATACCCTCTTGGTGCCTCGGTTTCTTCGTCTGTGACTTGGGGATGGGAATAAGGCCCATCTCAGGCAGAGTGTGAGGACGGGATGGACGTTTAGCACAGCCTGGCATACAGCAAGTGCTCAATAAGTGTCATGGCCATCGCGGGACATCCTGAACCCACTGCTGTGCCTGACATGGAGCCTCACTTGGTGGCTTTGCTCTGAAGCTGGGTCCTGAGGACGTGGCTGGGGGTAGAGCCAGGCCCAGCCCTGAATTCCGGGGATGGATGGAGCGGCCACACTTCAGTGGCCAGTGTCGCCCCGGTCACTGAGCTGGGGGAATTCGAGGGTGTGCATCCCAGCTGAGAAATCTGATAGGGAGATCCCAAGATCAGATTCCTGTGTCCTGATGGGCCGCACTGCCCAGGACAGGCTGAGTCCTCACTTCATCTGAGACGCTGGGCCTGGGGCGCTGGGAAAGCCCACAGACACAGGGTGGGGAGGCCTCCTCATCCGGGGGAGGGATCAGGCCTGGGCACCAGCAGGCGTGTGCTGAAGCCGCGCCTCCCGGCTCATGAGGACCGCCGTGCCCGTGCCCTTCCAACTCCGTGTGCCGCGGTGCCACACTGGGAACTCGGAATTGATAGCGGTAGGAGAATTTATGCCATGGAAATTGGCAAACACTAAGGTTGCTGTTTTTTTTGAAGAGTCGGTTTAACAACACACCACTGGACACAGGATCCCCTGGCCACACAGCCCCCTGGACACACTCCTGAATTCACACCCTTAAGACTTTACTCAGATTCCCCTCACCCACACTGCCTTAGCCTTGCCAGTTCCTTCCATCAGGAAGGTCTTTAATTTCCTTTCTCTACTTATTTTGTGTTTAATTCCTACCGATATGATTGAATAAAGGTGAATAAAGAGGGGTGAAATTAAGTACAGACAATGTAATGTCAATGGAATGGAATACTATACAGCTGTTCAAAAGGATGTCCTCAAAGACTATAGAATGACAGGCAAAACGATAAAAAGGAAAACATAAGGAGTGGGAAAAACACAGTATATACGACCATCTATACAGCATGATCCTGATGCTATAAAATATTATATGCATATATATAATATTCCTTTTATTCAACAGATATGTCTTGAGCGCCTGCTATGTACTAGGCAGTGGGGATGCTGTGAGGTATAAGACAGCCCAGACCTGCTCCCATGGGGCTGTCAGTACAGTGGGACATGGAGCAGAGTAACATGCGGCTACAGAATATTCTAGAAGTAGGAAGTGCTATGGAGACGATAAAGCAGGCACGGGGCAGAGCTGAGGCAGAGGGCTTTCTCCCACATACTGGTGTGTGCTTCTTTATAATCAGAAAATAATTCTGCTGCTCTGTTTTCTGCGCGCACCATCCCTGGCTCCCTTCATGGCCTCCGGGAAGCCCTGGGAGGCGGTTGGGGAGGCAGCGAGGACCGACACGCCCCCTCCGCCCCACACTGGCACCGCTCCCTGACCTTGCTCTCTGGTTCTCTTGTTTCGTGGTGATTTACATGCCCGTCTTATCTCCTAAATGTCAGGGACGATGTCGGGTTCACGCCATGCCTCCACACCGTTTGGAGCGGAAAGACTCGCTCGAAACGCACTTGCAGGTTAGAGGGAATTCAGTCCCCTCCAGGGCTGGGGGGCTGGCCTCTCTCCTTGGGATCAGAGTCGTCATATTTTTTACTTCCTCTGTCCCCACGGTGCCTAGGGCGGCAACTTAACCTTGCCAGCTGACCACCTCCCCAGTACACCTCGCCCCCAAACCGGGAGGCAGACCCCTCCTCTGGCTCCACAGACCTGTCCGTCTATAGACTTCAGTTTCCCCTCCTGGGAAGTGGCTCTGTCCCTCCTGAGGCCAAGATCGGGGCAAGGCGGACAAGACCTGGCCCAGGTTGGGGTGAGGAGAGTGTTCTTTGTCTCGGGAACACAAAGCCCCGTTTGTGATCACTGGGCAGATTCCGGGCAGGCAGCCACGTGGGACAGGAGGCAGCGGTGGGAGGGGTGGGCGGGAGTTCCAAACTTCCCCAAGGGCGGGCTGCCCAGGAAGCAGGGGTCAGGCCCGGCCTCCCCCGAGGCCGTCTGTCAGTCCCCAGGCCCCTTCCTCCTTCCTTGGTCCTTCTCCCCAAAGGGCCCCTCCTCACCTTGGAATGGAGAAGCAGGAAGGGGCAGCCACTGAAGCATGAGCCACGGGGGTGGGGGTGGGCAGAGTGGATGGCTCCAGAGCTCGTGGTTTGTGGCCAAGGGCAAGGCCAGCAGAGAAGCTGTGTCCTGCTGCCACTCAGCAGCCCCACCCAGACCATCCCCCAGGAGGTGAGGATGGAGACAGGTGGGAAGCTGGGGCCTCTGCCTCAGCAGCATGGCAGAGGGGCCCCAAGAGGACTTGGGAGCGACGCCCCACTTCACAGAGAGGAATGCCAAAGCCTGGGGCTGACTGGCTGACCACAGAGTGAAAGCCGGAGCTCCAGCCTTCTAAAGACAAGCTGTTTGTGTCGGGGCCTTCTCTCCTCTAGGCCGTGAGCAGCTCCAGGGCAGGGATGAGTTGATTTCTCTGTACAAACAGACTTCTCAGCCCCGTGTCCTCAAAGGAGTCACTTAACTGCCCTGGGCCTCAGTTCCCTCATCTGTCACTGGTGGCACAGGTCTGGTCCCTCCTTGGCCCTATCCAGTCCTGACCCACCCCATCATCCTAGAATTCTGCACGCCAACCTACAGAACTTTGTTCTCTTCTAGGAGGGGGCCATATCTCCTGCCTCAGGGCCTTTGCACATGCTGCTCCTTCTATGTAGAATACTCTTCCTCTCCTCTACTCACCCCTTCTCATCCTTCAGGTCTCGGTTCACATGCCACCATCCTCAAGGAGGTCTCCCCTGTCCACCTCCTTGCACTCTAGACCTCTCCTCCTAACCCTAGCAGAGCGTAATGACATATTTACCGGGTTGTTTGATGCATCAGGCCACCACATTAGCCTGTAAGCCCCATGAGGGCAGATTTTGTCTCATCCACTGCCATATCCTCACATGGTGCCTGGCGCACATAGTAGGTGCTCAATAAATATTTTCAAGAAACTGCCTCTAAAAGAATAGAAATTAAGACAGGAAGGATGCACACTGGCTTCCAGAGGATGGCATTCTCTGCAGCGGTAAGGAAGGGAAGGGGCCGGAGGAGGGAAGAGTCCAAGGAGGGCCCAACTGGATCTGGAGTGTTGTGGTTAAGAGGGTGACTCCACGCCCAAACGGCCTGAGTTCAAACCCCACCTTAGACTTGAGGCCAAAACCACAATCCATAAAGGAAAAAGTGGCCAACTGGCTTCAGCGGAATTTAAAACTTTGCTTTGCAAAAGACCATGTAAATGGGGACGAAAAGAAGCTACAGACCGGGAGAAACATCCGACAGAGGCCTATCCGGAATGTCTAGATGCATATCTAGAATATACAGAGAAGTCTCAAAGCTCAACAGTTAAAAAGAAAAAACACAATCCAATTAGAACCTAAGCAACAGACTAGAACAGATACTTTGCTGAAGAGGATCTACAGATGGCGAAGAAGCGCGTGAAAAGCTGTCACCATCATTAGCCATCAGAGAAATGCAAAGTCAAACCACAGCGAGCTTTCACTGCGCACCTATCAGAACGGCTGAAACAAAGAACAGTGATCATAGTCAGCCTGCAGAAAAACCGGATCCCTCAGATGCTGCTGGCGGGAGTGTGAAACAGTGCAGCTGCCCTGCCAAAGAACATGGCGGGTTCTTAGAAAAACTAAACACTCATGTAGCGTGCAAGCCGGCAATTGCACTCTTGGGCATCTCTGCCAGAGAAGGGAAAGCTTGTGTTCACACAAAAACCAGGACGTGAGTCTTCACAGCGGCTTTACTGGAAACAACCCCGACGTCCTTCAACCTGAATGGTTAAACAAACCGTGGTACATCCACACGGTGGAAGGCTACTCGGTAATCAAAAGGAACAAACACTGATACATGTAACGACTAGGATGATCTCAAGAGAATGAAGCGGAGTGAAAAAAGCCTCAAAAGGTTACATATTGTATGATTCCAATTCTATAACGTCCTGGACAGGACAGAACTATTCAGCTGGAGAACAGATGAACGGCCGCCAGGGATCAGGGAGGTGGGAGGAGTGGGGCGGGGGTAGGGGGGTGGCTATAAAGTGTAGCAGGAAGGATGCTTGTGGTGAATGTTCTGAATCGTGACTGTGACAGTCACAGGAATCTGCATGTGATAAAATTGCACAGAACTAGATACACACACGAAATGGACGCATGTAAAACTGTGAAATCTGAATAAAGTTGCTGGATTGTTTCTATGCAATTTCCTGGTCGTGATATGGTACTAGAGTTATGCAAGACGTGACCATTGGGGAAAGTGGGTGGAAGGGACGTGGGGTCTCTCTGTGTGACCTCTTAAACTGCATGTGAACCTACGATTATCTCTAAATAAAAAGTAATCCATGCAGCTACACATCTATTCAAATGACTTTTTAAAAAACTGACAATACCAACTGCTGGCGAGGATACGGAGCCATCAGAATTCCCATGCTCTGCTGGTGTGAAATACAAATGGCACAGACACTTGGAAAGACAGCTTGCAGTGTTTTATATGGTTAGACACACACTTGGCATGTGACCCGGCAATCCTACTCCTACATATTTACACAAGTGAAATGAAAGCTTACATTCACGCAAAAAACCTGCTCAGGACTACAGGCTGTATTTATAAATTGCCCTGGACTAGAAATAACCCAAGTGGAGGATGAATAAACAAGCGACAGAATATAATCAAATACTACTCGGCGATTAAAAAGAAGGATCTACTCGTACACACCTCGGCATGAGTGAATCTCAGATCAATATTGCTGGGTGACGGAAGCCAAACTCAAAAAGCTACAAAGTATAGAATTTCATTTGTGATATTCTAGAAAAGGCAAAACCAGACGGATAGAGAAGAGGTCAGCGGTTGCCAGGGGCTGGGGTGGGGGCAAGGGTTGATTACTAAGAGGCGTGAGGATTTGGAGGTGATGGCAACGTTCTGTGTCTTAACTGCATGTGGTGTGGAGGTTACACGACTTTATGCATTTGCGAAAACCCACGGAACTGTATGTGAAAAAAAATGAATTTTACTTTATGTAAATTATACCTCAATCTTTTTTAAATCAAGAAAAAATGAGATCATGTGTCTAGCAACTTGCGTCAATTTATGCAGAAAGTTAACCCTTGCAATTTAATGGAAAATGCTCAAAGATAAAATGTATGTTATTTTAACTCCTTTTTTTTTTTTAATACGCTCTAACATGCTTAGGAGTTGTTTGAAGCAATGTATGCATTACAAGAACTATAGTTTTTTTTAAATAGTGTTACTCTACAGTAAGAAAACACGTTTCTTTACATGAAAAAATAAATTATTTAGCACAGAAAAATAAAATGATGAGAAGCAAGGATGACAGGAGCTGGAGTTTGCTATCTCTGCCTGGAGGACCCATGAGTATTTGTAACATTACTCTGGGTACTTTTCCCTAGTCCCGCCCCCGCAGTGCTGTTTTAAGGATTAAATTAGATATAGTATGTAGAGTACTTAGCACGGTGTCTGACCCACAGTAGTTGCTCAAACTATGTCAGCTCCTCCCTCTCCTCATCCTCCAGATCCAGGTCAGGGGTCCCTTCCGAGCTGGTCCCCACCGGGTAATGCTGACGGCCCCTCTCTATCACCCCAACCAGGCTGAGGGGCTCCATGAGGCAAAGCCAGGGTAGCCCCAGCCCCAGCAAAGGGAGCGGCCCCTCACCGCCTCACCAGGGAGTGAACGACCCCGCCCAGGACCCGGCCAGCTGTGGGTGCTCAATCATTTTCTCTTGAACAGTCTACTGAGCGTCCAGTCACATTAGCGAGGCCCCACCCCGCCGAGCAGGAAAGAGGCTTGACCAGATGTGGGGCACCAAGAGGGGTGAATTCCTGGCTGAGGGATCCCTGTCCCTCCACTGCACCCCACTTTAGATGGGGAGTGAAAGCCCTCTCCCGATGGGGCAGAGCCTGCTGCCCTCCCTGCAGCCCCTCCGTCTCCCTCCCAGGGTGCAGTCCCGGCCTCGGGCGGCAATGGAATGTTGTGTCGTTGGTTGCTGGGGCAACCAAGGCCTGCTTGGTGGCTGCCTCTAGGAGTACCGAGGACGCTGCCACACCCCCCTGCATCAGGACCCCTGGGCCTCCGAGGCTAGTGCAGAACTCCGGCCTGAGGAAGGAGAGCTGGGGGCAATTGCCGGGAGATGGCAGTGCCCTGGGAGGAGTATTTCCGACTGGCCTTGCAGGAGAAACTGGCTACGTGAGTGGCGCGGAGTGGCAGGGAGGGCTGGAAGGAGGGCAGGAGCGGGTGGGATGGCCCAGCCCTTCCCCCTTGGCCCCCAGTGTCCTCACTTCCTCAGGAAGTTTGTGGTGGGGGATTATTGCCCCCACTTCCCAGAGGAAGAAACTGGGGCCCAGAAAGAAATGGCGATTTCCCCAAGGTCTCAGGGCTAGTGAGGGCAGAGCTGGGTCGATAGCCCGGGTCCCTACTCTCATCCTGATCCCCACCCCAGCTGACATCCAGCGGCGCTGAAATCGTTTGAACCAAGACGGGAAGCAATGATTCTGCGGACTCTTGCCCGCTCTCCCTGCACACTCTGCCTTTTAAAGGAAGCGTGGAGGCAGCTAGTCCCGTGCCTGCTCTGTGTTCAGCAGCGTGACCGAGGGTCCCAACCTCAGTCTCAGAATCTGTATGATGGGAGGGTTCCCGCGACCAGAGCTGGGAAAGCCTTGGCGCGTGGAATGTTAGTGCGCCCCTCTGTTCCCCACACAGCCCACCTTGTGGAGCTGTGCCCAGCCCCCTCTGCCCTGGGAGCCTGACTCCAAATCCCCCCTCCTCATGGACCCCTCCCCTCGGAGGTCTGCGGGGCCTCTCAGACATCTATCTCAGTCTCAATTCAACCACAGCAAGGAGCCGATCTCCCCCGCCCCCGACTCAGCCTTCCTTCAGGAACATCCTTCCAGCTCCTACGTTCCTCTTTGACTCCTTTCTCCTCATTGCTCCATCGGCTTTGCTCTCAAATTGAACCTGGAACCACCCCCTCCTCACCTCGTCACTGCAACCACTGATCAGAACCACACTGTCTCCATCATCCCGTAACCCCATCCCTGGTCTGCAGCTTCCACAGCAGCCAGAGGGACCCCTCCTCTGCTCAAAACCCTCCCATGGCTCCCACTTCACCAAGAGTCGAGGCCAAGCCCTCCCTCGCCACAGCCCACCGCAGTCTGAGCCTCGCAGCTCTGATCTCAATTCCCATCTCTCCCTCCCCTCCCCTCTCCTCCAGCCACACTGGCCTCCTCACAGGGCAGCTCCTTCCACACCAAGATCCTTCCCCTGGGCCTTGGCGTTGGCTGTTCCCTCGGCCTAGAATCTGTTCCCTGCAGATAGCCACATGGCTCCCTCCTTCTTCCCCTTCAGGTCTCTGCTGCAGTGTCACCTCCTCAGAGGGGCTTTTTGACCTCCCTCCTGAAAGATTTCCCTCGGTCTGCTTAATTTTCCAGCTTGGCGCATACGCGTCCTGGCATTAGTTATTATTATTGTTAGCCTCGTTTTCTGCGGCCCCAGCGGAAGGCCGGCTCCCGGAGGGCAGGGGTTTTGTCCGTCTTGCCCACAGCCACACCCCCAGGGCCTGGAATGGCGCCTGGCACAGAGGAGGTGCTCAGCTGAATGAAGACGTCCACAGCCAGCAGGCGGCTAACGGGGGCGTCTCAGGCACTAGTGGGGGGGTCTGGGGCCTGACTCTCACCTCCTTCACCACCACCTCCTGGGCAGATCCCCCGAGCAGAATGTGGACCACCTCCCGCCAGTGCTCCATCTCCTGGAGAAGAGGCGAGAGCTGGCGGAGGCAGACCAGGGCCTGCAGGCCCAGAAGCAGGTGAGCCTCCACTACTGTCTCTGAGACTTTGGGGACCTCAGACAAAAAGTGGTGGCGAGCAGAGGGATGGGAAGGGGTGGAGCTAGCTTATTAGCTATAAGTTCTGAGACGTGCCATTTCACCACTCTGAGCCTTGGTTTCCTCATCTGCCGAATGGGATCAAATGAGATCAGTGGTTGATGCAAATAAGTGTGCATTGGGCACCTGCTGTGTGAAGGGCACTGCACTGGGATCTAGAAGCCTCACCATGGTGCCTGCCCTCGTGGCGCTCAGAGTCTAGAGAAGCAGAGACAAGTGTCCAGAGACAAGGGACTGCTGTGAGGGGGAAGCACCGAGAGGGACTGTGGGAACCAGAGGAAGCCCCTATCTCCACATGAGGGTGGTCAAGGAGGGCTTCCTGGAGGAAGTGATGTCTTAGGGATTGCTGAAGGGCAAGTTGACTTATCCAGCAAAGGGGGACGGGGTGAGGGGGCAGAAACGAGCAGAGGGAACAGCATGTACACAGACTGGGAGGCAGGGACTAAACACAGGTAGTCGAGTGGCTGGAAGATAGTGTCAGAGGAGAGAGGGCAAGATGAGGCCTGAAGGAAGGGCAGGGACGCCAACGTGCAAGGGCTACAAGAGGGCCCCGGGGCTTCATTACCGTGCTGGGAGCCAGCGGCGGGTCTGAGCGGGGGTCAGAAACAGGATCAGGGACAACGGATGAGCGAGGTTAAGTGTCAACCTGACAGTGTTGGATGACTCGGACCCCCAAACACACACACACACCCCCACGCTTCACCCCCCATCCCCACCCCAGGCGTTCCAGACCACCATGGCAGCCCTGAAACAGCGCTGGGAACAGCTGGAACAGAAGGAGCGGGAGCTCAAAGGGGCCTTTGTCCGCTTTGACAAGCTTCTGCAGGTGGGTGGACACTGCTGGGGGAGGCGGGTCTCAAGGGTGGAAAAAACACCATCCTATGGGGCAGCCGCGTCACAGAAATTTAAAAAGCGGGCTTACTAACACGAAAGGGAGCGTGGGAAATACACACACACTGCCTCGAGCATTCGAGTTCTTTACAAGCGTGGTGGAGGAGTGAGGGATCCAGATCGGAGATTCTGGGGGAATGGGGCCCGCGGGCCACCTGTTTGCTACCCTTGGCTGGCGTGCGCGTGTCGGGCGGGGCGGACGGCCAGCTCCGCGGGCTCCCGCGTGCTGAGGGTCGTCGCCCGCTCTCCGCGTCCACGCCGCAGGAGTCCGAGGCCCGGCGCGGCCGCGCGCAGCGGAGGGCGGCGGAGGAGCGGCGCCGCGCGGGCCGCCAGGAGGCCGAGGCGCTGCGGCTGCGGACCCAGCTGCGGGAGCTGCAGGAGGAGCGCGCGCGGCTGCAGCGGCGGCTGGAGCGCCTGGAGCCCTGCGCGCGCCTGCTGGGGCGGGTGCTGGAGCAGCTGCCCGAGGTGAGCGCTCTGCAGGGGGCGTGGGGGCTCAGCGCCACCGTGCAGCGCCGGGCGGCCTCAGGGACGGCTTTGGAACCGTGCATCACTGGAACGCTGACTGGACGCCGGGAATCATCAATTGTTGAGCGCTAACTGTATGCCAGGGTCGCGCTTTGTTCTTGAATTCTCCCCACGGCCCAGTGAAGTGGGTCCTGTTATACTCTCTACTCCATTTTACAGATGGGGAAACTGAGGCTTAGAAAGTTATCTCTTGCTCAAGGACACAGTCAGGAAGCGGGGGACGGAGATCCGGGCACTCGATAAATATTAGTTGAATAAAACAATGAATTAATATTAATCGCGGACAGGGAAGCTTAGCTAGGCTTGATGATGGAGGTAGGGAGGGCCGGGAGGAATCCCCGCTTGTGGGGCACGGACTGTGGGACGCTCAGATTTCAGAGTTGGGCTAACTGAGCGGGCGCTGGAGAGGCGTGGGCGGCCCAGGAGGCTGCAGGCCCGGGCGAGTCCCCTTCGCGACCCCACCCCAGTTCCAGGAGGTCCCCGAGCTGGTGGCGCGCTTCGGCGGCCTGGCCGACGTGCAGGCGGCGCTGAGGCTCACGGCGCGCCAGCGGCTCGCGGAGCTGGAGGAGGCGCGCGCGCGGCTGCAGCGGCTGCGGGACGCCGGGCAGGACGAGCTGCTCCGGCAGGGCCAGCGGCGAGCGCAGCTGCTGGAGCGCCTGGAGGCGGCGCGGGAGCGCACGCGGCACTGGGTACGGCCGGCGGGAGCGAGGGAGGCACGGGTGGAGGCAGGGAGGGCGGCGCCTGGCTCCCGGCCTCCCACCGCCGGGGACGGGTGCCCAGGTTGCCGATGGGCAATACTTAGCCCAGAGGGCAGCTGCACTAATGGGGAGATTCCAGGCGTCAGAAAGCACTTCAGGGCCCAGGAGGCCTGTCCTACGGAACCTGAAAACCGGCTCCCGGACGCCTTTCCCTGAGAGCGCCCTTGGGCATCCGACTGGCGGAAGTGGACGGGAATGAGGCCAGGGCCATCAGCCCTCTGCCGGCCAGCTCGCACCTTCACCGGGAAGGGGGCGGGCTGTTCCGCAGGAATCCAAGTGGGTTCAGATCCAGAACACGGCAGCTGAGAAGACCCTGCTCCTGGGACGCACTAGGATGTCAGCGCTCAACCTGTTCCAGCTGGTGTGCCAGCATCAGAGGCAGCCGGCCGCCCTGAACATCGAGGACACAGAGGGGCAGCTGGAGCAGGTGAGGGCCTTGTCCCTATGTCACCTCCAGCCCCCAAACCTTCGGAAACATCTCGGTGCCTGAAATCCCCGCTTCTCTGGGTTAAGCGTGAGCCCTGTGCTCAGAGCCCGTGCTCCTGGCTCACCTCCCACCTGGCAGTCCTGGGTTGGCCTTGGCCCTGACGGTCATCTGCTCTGCGGCCAGGAGGGAGTGGTACCCTCTCGGAGGCTCAGCCCTCCGACGTGTGCAAGAGGGCCATGGTGCATACTGACACACGCAGACCTTTATGCCAAGTCCTTCCCTTCTTCCAGGATCAAACAGCACTAACTAGTGACACTGATGAGAAACCAGGGGGTTGAGACTCACTTTAATCAAACCCTGAGCCTCTGGCTCCTGCAGGGACAGGCCTCGGCTTCCCCAAGGAGGGTGAGGGTGGGGTGGAGCAGTGGTCTGTCTTTCTGCACAAGGTGCCGCCAATGTCACTGGGGACCAAGGGCACGCGGTTTTCTATTCATCCAGCTTTGCAGGGTGTAGAACACGTGACCTGGGTTCACAGTGGAGGGAGGGGTCCTGACTTGGGACATTTCTGTTATGTTTCCAGCAGGTGCCCAAAGCATGGCCCCTCCGAGAAGGGGAGCAAACACAAAGGGAGGCGCCCCAGCTTGCCCCTGTCCCCATCCCACTCCTGTCCCGGGCCCGATGTCCAGGATGCCACCCAAACGCCAGGCCCGGAGTCCCCGCAGCCCCCTCTGTGCCTCATGCTGAGCCGGGTGATTGGTGTAACCAGTTCGCCAGGGCTGGCCTGGCACAGGAGGCCACTGGGAGGGACAGAGGCTCGGCACGAAGTAACAGGCAAAGGCCAGTCCCTTTTCAACCAGCCCCCTGACCCCACCAAGGAGAGGCCCACGCGGGCACCACACCCTAGTTCCCACCTGGGACTGGCCCCCGGAGGCCACGGCAGCCGGCCGGAATGCCGTCACATGCCCCGTTTTCACTGTGTTGTTACTATTTTTCCAGTTAGCCCTACTCGTGACAGGGGTAACTAATTTTTTCCGTTTTTGGTGGAGACAGAGTTTCCTTCTCAGGTGTTTCTTTCAGTGACAAACGTGAAGGGAGAGCCCAGGGACAGTTCATCATCGATTCTAGCTCTAGGCAGGGGATCCATGGGCATTTGTTATGTTCCTATCAATAAATAAGTTAATTAAAACAAAACAAGGGGGCCTCGCCATGAAGATCAGAGATCGTATACCACTGAATATGACTGATCCAATTCAAAGGGAAAAAACTCGATGTAAGTGAGAATGCTGACTTCATCATAACAGTGACAGGCAGCTAGAAAACTGTGACAGCGTCTGCTAATGAAAAGCCTGGAGGCCCGGACTGTGGCTTTAGAACCTGGAGCAGTTCAGGCCGGGTCCGCTGCCCAGGGACCACCGTCATTACTGCCCTCTAATAGGGTCTCCAGCCCCCACCCCAGCCTTGCAGCCTCCCAGGTGTTGGGAGGTGGGGGCTGGACAGACTCAGGGGCTGGATGTGACTCGGCCGTGTCGGGGACCCCCAGGTGAAGCTGTTCATTCTGGACCTGTCCTCTGTGCTGGCCAGCCTGCGTCAGGCCCAGCCCACAGCCTCCCAATGACCCAGGTGAGCAGTGAGGGAGGGGCCCAATGAGGACCCGGCCCTGGAGAGGTACCACATTTCCCACGGGGTGCGGGCTGCCAGGCTCGCCCCTGAGATGGGAGGGCCGTGCCAGCTCAGACTGCTGTGGGGCAGACACGAGGGGCACACAGCAAGTGCTCCATAAACGTGGGCTATGAAGGGGCGCCAGCCCCGCATCCACCATGTGGCTCGGGACCAGGTCCTCCCCCAAGGGTGGTAGGGGCAGTAAACAAGTGGATGTTTGTCAAGTGCCTGGAACGGGGTCTGACGCACGGTAAACTTTAGATATGTTTGGTAAGTAAATAAATAGGACCAGCAAGAGGGTCACATGGCAGAATCCCATCCGCGGGGCACCTGCTCCCCAAAGCTCCTCCCTTATAGACAGGTGCTGGGTGATGCCTGGCCTGAGATCCAGCTGCTGGAGGCCGCCCTTGACCTTCCAGGACCCCCACGAGGGCCTGGGGCAGGTTCTGCCCTCGGGTGTGTGGTGGGGCAGCCTTAACCCTGCACAGCCGGAGGGGAGCAGCTGTGCCCTCTGACCCAGGACCCGACGTCTCCCTCTCAGGGTTGGCTCCCAGCTGCACCTGTCCTGGCAGGAAGGGGGACTGCTCAGCTTTGGGGCTCTCCCACCTCGGGCAATGGACTTGGCCTCGGAGCCTCACCCTCTCCATCTGCAGAGTGGAGACAGCAGCAGCACCCGGCTCGGGGACTCCAGGGGGAGTCACATGGGACCCGCCTGCACGCTGTCAGCTCCTCTGCCACGCTAGCTGGGGTTTAGTACCTGCGTCTGTCCCTTCCGACTCCGCGAGGAGACTGCACTGTGGGTCCACCAGAAGTGCTCAATAAAGGTTTATCACATTAAAAATACATCACTGGGCCTCAGGCACTCGGGGTTCAGACCCGTGTGGCCATGACCTCTGAACTCAGAACACATGAGAGCAGCAGCAGCTGACCTGCCCACTCAGGTCTTGGCCTGCCTGGCCTTGCTGGCGAACTCCTATGCACCCTTCAACACCCTGCTCAGATGTCTCTGTCTTGGGCAGAGGCAGCTGCTGTCCCTCTGTGGCCGTCCAGCACTCCTTTCCAAGGACGGCTGCTGCAGGCAGCTCCCCCGGTGCCCGGGATAGGGCCGGCACACAGTGCTGCCCACGACCAGGTGCTGATGTCCGCACTTGGGCCAAGCGAGGAGCTGTGGGGCTGGGTCACCCTCCTCACATCCTCTTCCGCATCTTGCCCTTCTTGGAGGGGGCGCCCCGGCCGAAGGCGGCCTGCTGCAGTTCCCAGACGCGGCGCCGGTTGCGGGCGGAGAGCTGCTTGAGGCCCCCGCGCTGCAGGAAGCGCAGCTTCTGGGCTCGGCGCCGCTGCTTCAGGATCTGCTGCTTGCTCTTGAGCTCGGAGCGCACGCGGCCCGCGGGGGCACTGGCGGGGCGGGGCCGGGGTGGACCTGCCGGGACAAGGGTTCAGGGAGCTCAGTCTCTCCTCCTGGAATCTCCAGACTGCGCCCCCACCCCCTGCCGTCTGTGCTCACTGCCGTGGCCCCGGCGTCTGGCACACAGTAGGTGTTCAATAAAGCTTATGTCGTCTACTGTAGTGGGGAACACGTGGAACCACAAGCCAGGCCTGCTGGGGTTCAAATCCCAGCTGCGACCTCTTGGACCTGGGGCAAATCACTTAACTTCTCTGTGCCTCAGTTTCCCCTTAGGTGAATTATAAATAACAGCACCCACCTTCTGTGTCCTAAAGAGGCGTAAATGAGTTAATATGTGTATGGTGCTCAGAACAAGGCCCAGCGTAACCGCTAGGATTATAAAGCATTCAACAGAGGTTTGTTAACCTTCCCTCAGCAGGAGAGAAATCAGAGAGGCCAGCGAGGGAAAGGGACTTATCCAAGGTCACACAGCAAAGCGGCAGAGGTCAGCGGCCCGGCCCCAGCCTGCTCTCCTGGGTCTGAGAGGGCACTTACCCCCGCCTGCCTGGCTCCCCACTAAGCCCTGCGCCCTCCCCCTCTCCCGTGCTCCCTCTCCCCGCCCAGCTCCTCCCTGCCCACACGAGTGCCCTTTTCGGGGCTTCCAGGCAGATGGTCATTAAGGCGGGCCCAGATGTCTCCACTGGGGCTGGGCACCTGACAGGGACCCGTCACCTCCAGTGCGGACAAAGCACAGGGGAGAACAGCTGCTTTTCCCGCAGCCCACAGGGCGCCCTTCCCCCCGCCCCGGGCCCAGCTCGTCCACAGCAGCAGCCTGCTCCACCCCAGTGAAAAATAGGAGCTGAGAAGGGAGGGGGGAGGCGGGGCGCATCCACAGAGACAGACATGATGGGGAGAGAGACAAACAGTGAGAGAGACCGGGAGATTGTGTGTGTGTGGAGAGAGGAACAGAGACAATGAGAGGCAGAGGGAGAGGGAGAGAGAGAGAAAGAGAGAACAGGCTGAGAGAGGGTCAGGGACGCAGAGATGGAGAGAGAGACAGAGGCCCGGAGGGACAGAGACCCAGGGAATGGCAGAGGGAGGGAGCGTCGGAGGAAATCACAGGCAGAAAGAGACAGCTAGAGAGGGAGAGCCAGGCACTCCAGTCAGAGCGGGAGAAATGGCCGGAGATGGAGAGGAGAACACAGCGAGGGCACGAGGAGGCCCGAATGAGGTGGAGAGGAACCCCAGGAGCGCGACAGAACGGGCCCTAGGCCGAGGGACGCAGATGTACAGGGCCACGGAAGAGGCAGGGACTAGCCCTGCAGGGTTGGGGGAGACAAGCAGGAGCTAAGGGCCCCCAAGAGAGCCCTAGACACGGTCCCAAGCTCCCCTCTCCCCAGGGGAGGCCCCTGGTGGGGGTTGGCAGGCAGCTGGGTGACCCAGGGCCAGGCACTGGCCTCATGAGACACTTCAGCTTGTCTTCCCACTCCCAGGTCATGTGTGGCTAGTGTCCAGCTCAGAGCCTGTCCCCACACAGCAAGTGGGAGACTCTCCAACAGCAGGGTCACCTGTGTGTGTGTGTGTGGAGGGCAAACTCCAGTCCCCTCCCTTCAGAGCATGTCAGAGGTCGTGAGCGTCCCACTTCAGGGAGTCTCTGCCATTTGAACAGGTTCAAATCCCGCCTTAGTCTGTCACTGGCTGAGGGACCCACGTCAGATCAAAGAGGACCACTTGCCAAGCTGCGTTTTGCGGGTGGTCCTACCTTGGCCTCGGCCCCGCTTCCCACCTCTTCGCTCTGGGCCCTGCCGCTCGGGCGCCCCTTCCTCCTCCGAGTCACGATCATCGATTTTCTGTTTCTGTTTCCACTTCTGGTAGCTGAGAAGCCGCGTTAAGGAGGCTGCATGCAGCATCACGACGCGGCCTTGACACCCGTGGGCTGGGAGCGGGCCCCCACTCAGCAGATACAGGTTCCACCTCTAGGGGGTGGATGGAGAAGGTGCTCCGGCCCCCTTCCCGCCCCCACCTGTAGGAGACGGGGGAGGGCAGAAAGCGCCCGGCCCCGCCCCCTCTCTCGCCCCCACCTATAGGAGGCAGGGGGAGGGGTAGAAAGTGCTAAGCCCCGCCCACTCTCTCGTCCCCACCTATAGGAGGCAGGGGGAGGGGTAGAAAGTGCTCGGCCCCGCCCCCTGGCCCCGCCACTCCGGATACAGGTCCCGCTTGTAGGAGCTGCTGATGTAGCGGCCACTCTCAGTCTTGATCTTCTTCTTGTCCTCTTGTCCCGACTGTCCCACAAACCGCTTCTTCTTCCGGTCCCTGTGGGAGAGGGAGTTGGGAGGGCTGCTGTGAAGGGAGGTGGCCTGGGGTGGCCCGCTCCCCTCAGGGCCTGTTTCCCCTGACCCTCTTCTTGGGTTGTTGGACATTCAAGGAGAGCAGCGTGCTCGTCTGGCATGCAGCAGGGGCTCAATAAAGGCCCGTTCACTGCTCCTCCTTTCCTGGCAGCCCAGGTCTCAAAGGCCGTATGGGGGCATTGGGAACTGGGGGGCCCCTGGAGAGTTCCCAGTCTCCACTCTGCCACCTCCTGGTTCTGTGACCCAGAGTCCAAATGGGCAGAATGGGGTATGAGCTCTGTCTAGAAAGACCAGCAACAAGGACAGAAGGGGTCAAGATCCCTGTCGTCCGTGATCAAATCAAGAGGACAGGAGGGAGGGTCATTGTCCCTGCTGTGTGTGTATTGCATGGGGACAGATCAGACGGAGTCACAGTCCCTGCTGTGTGATCACACATCATAATCATGCTGCTCGGGATCAAATGAGGGCCGGGGGTGACTTATTTCCTGCTCTAGGGGGTCAAACGGGAGTCAGGACAGGCAGGGGTCACGTGCCTGTTGTGTGGGCCCTGGTGGCGGAAAGGTGGCACAGAAGGGCCACGTGCACTCGCTCACTCACCACTTGAGCTGCTGCCGGCCCCTGGTCAGGTTCTGGGCTTCGTCCCCCATCAGGTCCAGGACAGCGCTGGCCGCCTGCTGCTCAAAGGCCCCCCGGTCGCCACTGACGCTCAGGCTGCAGAGAGAGGTGGGGAGACAGCTCGGGGTTGGAGGGGCCCTCAGGCCCCGCCTGCCCACCCCAGGACCCGCCGGCCACTCACCCCC